TAATCAAGTCAACGAGCTGCTCTCTGGCGCTTTGCATAAGTACAACTAATAAAATAAATTCAATAATCACAAACACATTAATCCATAAAAAGACATAAACAAAAAACAGAGAAAATTATTTAGTACAACTAATATAAAATTACAACAATCACAAACACATTAATCCATAAAGAGACAAACAAAAAAACCGAGAACATTATTTAGTACAAATGGTAAAAGTCTGACACAAACACAGCTAGAACCTTTCAATTAGTTGTATATTTGACTAAAAAGTTCGGTTTTGAGATACATCTACTTTTTAAAAACTGTAATAGAATTTGCGCTTTTGGTTTTGTTTGATACCGAATACCATAACTTCTGAGCACCGACTGCGAAAGAGTTGATTTTTGAAAAAAGATTAATCAAGAGGCTGTCTGATTGTGGTCGAAGGGTTCTACAAGGTTTATTGGTGTTGAGAATTTCTCTTAGATATTGGGGAGAAGAATCGCCATTTAGAGCAGAATACGTAATAGACAGTATTTTAAAATTGATACGATGACGGACTGGAAGCCAATGGGGATCTTTCAGAATTGTTGGCATATGTTCATTTGGTTTTGTCTTGGTTAGGATCCGGTCTGCTCTAATTTAAAGTTTCTGAAATCGTTTAATTTATATACTTTCAGATAGATTATACAAAAGCGAATTACAGTAGTCGAGTCTTGATGTAATGATAGTGTTTACCAGCATTTTAGTCGTGCCACTATCAATGAAAGATCTAATTTTTCCAATATTATAAATCTGAAAATTAATACATTTACACATGGCCGAAATTTGTTTATTCATGTCAAGATTAGAGTCAAAATAAACACCAAGATTTTTTACAGAATCTGTTGGTGTAATAGGGGTATTATTGCCAATTTGATAGTTTTCTGTTTTAGTTTTTAGAAGTTACTATCTGCTGCCGACTTTCATTATTCTTTTTTGTCATCATTGAGGTTTTTTAAAAATAAATTTGAATCCATCCATTTATGAATATGTGATAAATAGGCCTCAAGTTTGCATATCTAAGATGGTTCAGAAAAAGGCTCAAAAGCTATATAAATTTGAGTGTCGTCATCGTGTAGATGGTAGTTTACGAATGACATTCCCTAAAGATGTTGTGTGTGTAGTAAATAATAAAAGACCGGGAACGGAAACCCGTGGCACGCGATACTTTAAAACCGTTGACTTTGATGGGGAACCTTAGATAACGTACAACTGTCTGTAAACGGTTTTCAATGACTGGAACCATGTAAGGGGTAGCTAGTCCACTTGGTGGTCTAGCGTGTCAAACGCAGCGGTTAGATCAAACAGGATTAGTCCCGATGTTTATTTCTTATCCATTTCGTTTAGTAAGTCATTTTGAACACGTAATAAGGCGGTTTCATATGGAAGACCAAATGGGACAATATTCATGATTCTTGTTTCTACATATTCCAGTTTGAACATTTTAGACACGAACGCAACATTCTAAACTAATGATTCTTGTTTCTACATTCTTATGTCAAAATTTCATGCACAAAATCAACATTTTAAACAAAAAATTGACTTTATGTTTCATTTTCGGCGTTTTATCGGTAACTTTTATATATCATTAAATATTAAAATTAAAAAATAATTTCTTAATTTTACACGACAGAGAAATCAATTCATTGGTTTCTGAAAGTATCTAAAAAAAAAATCTGGAATTTGAACTCTTATGAAAATATTTTCTACGTTTCAAAAAGTCTTGAAGTTAAAATCTTGAAATGAAAATGTCCAGAAAAATATAATGAATTATCAACATTATTATACCAGAGGGCGTTAGCGTATGTGTACAACTAAGTGGGCCCCTGTTGTTTTTACGGTAATTAGTTGCATGAAACAGAAATTAAGCTCGAGATATAATAACAATACAAATAACTTCTATAATTTAAACAGCTAGAAAAAAATAGGACAAAGGCCTTTCTAACATATTGGGGTTTTCTTTAGCGTTTTCCTCCAAAGTTCAGGGCTGAAAAAAAAACATCGAAAGTGACCTCACCAAAACACCATACAAACAGAGAACTGACCTTACCTTGAACTTTCATATATATACATAAGAAAAAAAGAACTTTAAGTGAGTATTTTGTTTTCTTTTTTTTTGTAGCTAAAAGTAACCAACGTTTTTGTAGATATATTATAAACGTGGACCTCAGTAGCGAGATTTGATACACCCATGGCGTACTGACTTAGCAAAAGCATTCTACACATAATATGAACAAACTTTTTTACAAAGCAATTCTGGAACTTTGTGGCGGTTACGCTAGGTTCCCACTATCGCGATTCGTGCTACGATTGAAATAGTGGTTTTAATCGTGGAGTAATCGTGGTGATTCTACCATGATCAATTTAGGTCAGCTGTAACCATCGTGTTGAATGTATATCGAAAGTATTCGATGGTATCTGTACGTAGCAGATCGTGGACTCAATAGGGACAATCCTATCGTAACACATCGCACGACAGTGGCAAGCTGACATTAATAGGCTACGGGCAGTGCTTGTTTCACCTTCTGGTGCCGGTGTGATAGTGTGAGATGGTTCCTGGTGCGTGATTACCGTTTTAGCGCATGCGCAGTTGTAGGAATCAGCTCACACTTGACTCCCCGTGATAGGATTTCCCCTAAGATTTTCTTACGGTAAAAATTGGTTTCAACTTTATTATCTACCAATATTTACAGTATTATATACTATCAGGAGAGGGTGTCGAGTTTCTATTGTTTGTTTATTTCGATAAAAAATAGAAATACAAATTGACGATCTTTAAATTATTATTCGCTATATTCTCCTTCAGTAGGCTACAATGCAAAAACGTAATTAATTCAAAATAAATTTAAATAATTGTCCCTTGTAAAATTTGCAGGCATATTTGAACCCAAATTTACAAAAAGCATTTATTACCACTTTCTTTTCTATGTATGGAATGGGGTGATAAAAATTCTCGCAGTAAAGTTTCATCTCATGAATCAGACACAAATTGTCGCCTCTGGAAGGTCCACAAACTTCGTTCATATTTCACATTTTGTGTAAAAGGCAGGGAGCCAATGCGCACCTAAATTGAACTCAACTAAGATAGTGATGCTCATTTTAAGTTTCCTCTAAATCGAATAAAAAATTGTGACCTCTAGATGGCCCACAAAATGGGCATTACATGCTTATATGCTGTTTGCGTAAAGGAGAGCGGCCATTTCACGAAATTCGGACTCAACCATAATTATTATGTGACGGTGATATAATATTTGAACGGTTTTGTAAATAAACTAGATACAAATGGTGTCCTTTAGAGGGATCACAAGCTAAAAACGTGATATTTCATGCACTCAAGGGTCATAATCCAGAAAGTTACGGTCTAATACGTGCCAATATCGAAAGAAACCCAGACTTTTATGGGATATATCAAATTGGATGAAAATTCGAACCTCCGAGTAGTCCACAACCTGGGTATTACATGGGCTAAGCTGTTATCTGTTTCTCCACAAAATCTACAGAATACAATTTTTTTTTTTCTATAGTTTTCGATAGAATACCACAGAAACCTATATGATTACACAACTGATTTCAGGATAATAGTTAGCAGAAGCTATATTTTTACCACCAATTCTATAGCAGCACATATAAATTTATAAGTTCATTTTCTATAGTTTCTTTCAGTATTATATAGAATTCTATAGGAAATTACACTTGGAAAAAAACTGTCGATCCTATGTGAAAACTATAGAAAATTATTTCAGATCTGTAGTATTGTGAACAAATCTACAGAATGGATTCGTTTTCCTATAGTATTCTATATCATTCTATAGAATCCCAAAAAATTCTATAGGAACCTACTTTTTCTATAGGAATTTTTCATTAGTGTATGAACCTAGCTGAGTATGATTGCTAAAATCTGAGAACTGAAGATGATTTGATATTGAGGAACAAACACATCTGATTTGATGCTTGTGATCGAACGGTGATTGGGGTAAACGGTGTTTTAAGCTTTCTTTGTCCGCTCAGGTTTAATTATACACACGTTCATTTTTCGAAGAAGCCTACTGAATTTCAACAATTTCCGTACTCCCCACGTTTTTGCCATTGATCATTAGAAGACATTGATTAAAGGAGGCAAGTCTTTAACTCAATATCATCCATGCAGTCTTCGACATTGCAAACACGACTTATTGGTCAGTTTAAATCAACACTGATGTTGTTATCTTACCGTGTAAAGATGGGCTTCTGGTATCCAATATTTAAGACAAATGGAACATTTTAAAATTGCCACATGAATCGCGTGCCAGAATGCTTTCGAGCGCCAATTATAATGGAACGAATCGATGAACGAGGCTAAACATATCCACAGTCCAAGAATACTACCGTTGTTGACTTTAAATTTATACACAGTGTTCAAGGTCATCAGCGGTTTCCGATAATTACTGCCAGATTTATGGCCCTTGATCACTTTGAAAAATCTTGTGGACGCTCTAGAGGCTAAAGTAAATATCCGATAATTAATATTTCCGATAATTACTGTCAGAGTTATGGCCCTTGACCAGTTTGAAAAATCTTGTAGAAACTCTGGCTGAAGTTAATACCTGATTGTCTTTAAATTTATACACAGTGTTTAAGGTCATAAGACAAACGATCCTATTCATTTTCAACAATTTTCTATAATTACTGCCAGAGTTTTGGCCCTTGATCACTAGAGGCTATAAATTGCTCAATGTCATCAGACAAACAATTAAAACAAATTCTAATGATTTCTGATAATTACTTTAAGGACTTTAAGGGTTATTATATACTCGTAATAAGATTTGTAGTGTTGTAAATGTTCCCCTTGCGCCGTTGTGGGCGTATGTTTTGTTGCCTAATGATTTTCTGATAATTACTTATTGAGTTGTTACTCTTTAAGCGGAAATTGCAAATTTTCTAAGAAAGTCAAAACGTAATTATTTCTATGTCTTTTGCTCAATAGGTTGTCAACTCACAATTATACGATCATAGGTGTCATTCTCACACTTCAGATTCATTTAGACAGGAAATAATAACACAATTACCTCCCTTGTTTTCTATTCTCCACCATGGAGTAGCGATATTCAAACGTTTAAAAAAGAATAGGAAAATGATATTTTTGCCAATTTCTCAGCTGGCAATAGTGAATTATAGGATTAATAGGATTATTCTTTAACAAGGTAGGACTGTTTACGGATACCATCTATTTTCAGGCTTTATTTTAATAAATTTTAAAAATATAACTTAAAAATTTGCAATTTCCGCTTTAATCAGACTTTAGTGTATTAGTGTTTCATTACTGACAAACGTAAAAATATGCGACAACTCTTGTTGACTAACCGGACAATTTAGCTGCTGTGGGCGTATGTTTCGTTGCCTTTCAACCTATCTTTGAATATTGCGACGATCTTAATCTTTATAACCACAAAGAGCCCAACCATTCGTAAATATCGCTCGAAAACTAAATGCTAGCATGTCTCTTACGTTCGAAATGAAAGCCCACTGGTTGCAATTGTCTGATAAAGTAATTGAAGGATGTGGAGCATTTCGATTTTTTGCTGCGCCCAGTCAAAGGAATCTATATACCCTGGCTTCATTTTTGTAACCTTTTTCTATAATTCATGTTTACTTCCTGATCCTCCCGCCTCAAAATCACGATTCACCAAAACCTGGAAGAAAATGCAAATTCATCAATTCTTGACCCCAAAGATCAACAAGTAGTGGAAAAGTTGAAAAGAGAGAATTGCTATTAATGTACGGATTATTGCAGCAATCGAGAATATGATATTCCATATAGGGTCAAATAAATTAACCAGACCCAAAGGATAGGGACTTTGAAGTATACATAGAAACACAAAAAGTGTCGCTGGCCTCGCTGATGGAAAGCTGTGCAAACCTAATCCATGATCATTTTCTGCTCATTTCTTTTCAGATTGAAGTAGAAAATGGATGAAAAATTGCAGAAAAGTGTCACAAGATGGAGACTAGTGTCGGCTGCCTTGGTTGTGTTATGTGCTTTGTTGATTATACTCGTCATTGGTATTGTTGTGGTCAAAAACAGGGAAATCCTAGCTAAAAATGTCCCTTCGTGTGGATTGAGGTTCAAATCAAATATCGATACGAGTGAACCGGAACATCCCGACATATTCCACGACTTGACTAGTCGTGAGATGAGAGCCGTCCAGAACTACCTCATCTCAGTACCTGAGTTAAATCTAGAATCGTCCAATTTGCGCATGAACTCCAGTTACATCGCTGGTATTGATTATATTTTACCTCCCAAAAAAGATGTGCTAGCCTATTTGGAAGACTCGGGATCGCCGCCTACTCGTAAAGCCAAGGTTATTATATTGCGAGGTGACTTGAATCCGCCGATGGTTGAAGAATACGTCGTTGCCCCCCTTTCTAATCCATCTTCCCATAGACTTATTGACTATCCTAACAGACGAAACCCCGTTCCTTTCGCGATGCGTCCCTTCACGAGAATAGAGTTTAAAAGCATTTCTCAAGTCGTTATGAAAAAGGTTGATGAACAGATTGGGGACATTCTACGCGAAAGTTTCGGAGCGACATTTAATGACTGCGGTGATACATGTTTATACTTTATTCCAAATGTCGCTTCGTCGGCCGTAACTGGCGACTTTACTAGAAGGATGTGGTTACAAGTCGCTTACCTTGTCGAGTTCTACACGATTCATCCAGTGGATTTGTTGCTGTATGTGAATGTTGACGGATCCGATCCATCACAATTCCGAGTTGAAAAAGTTGTTTACGGAGGCCAATACAGAAACAGTTTGGCCGAATTAGCAGCTGATTATGTGTCAGGAGATGTTGAAAAATCGAAAATGACCTTTCCAACCGTAGACAAGAATCTATTTTCAACTCTCCATCGCCGAGGGTTTCCTGCTTCACCAACGGAAGAACAAAGACAGCCACAGTTTGTGGAACCTGACGGAGCAAGATACAGAATCAAACATCGACAGATTGAATATATGAACTGGAGATTTCATGTCAGGATGGCCACTTACAATGGTCCTCAGATTCATGACGTTAGGTACGCCGGTAAACGAATTGCTTACGAAATTGGGCTTCAGGAGATCGTCGCCTTCTATGCTGGTGACGCCCCGACGTTCAGAATGGCGAATTACGTCGATAGTGTAGCATCTCTTGGTCAGAAGGCTCGAGCACTGTTACCTGGAGTGGACTGTCCGGAAACGGCTACATACCTGTCGACGAGGCAGGTGTCTGATAATCAAGAAGGTTCAGTCAAATCTGAGAGAAGTTTCTGCGTCTTTGAGCTAAACACTGGATATCCACTGAGGCGCCATTTGGAATATTTTCAGTTCCGTGGATCGTTTTATGGTGGTATGGTTGATAATTGTTTGATTGTACGAACCATTCTCTGTTTAAATAATTATGACTATATCATCGATTTCATCTTTCATCAAAGTGGCATCGTGGAGACCAAGATTATAAGTACGGGGTATATATTCGGTGGAGTTTATAACGAACAGGAGAAGAATTATGGGTTTCAAATAGCTGACCAACTCGTCGGAAATATTCATCATCATTTATTTAGTTTTAAAGTAGATCTTGACGTCATGGGAACCTCCAACAGATATGAAACTTTAGATATAAAGTTAGTTAATGTGTCTAATTCAAAATGGTTAAATGGGCTGAACACAATTCAGAGTCAAATTAAATTCGATCGTATTTTGAAGAAAACCGAACTGGATGCTGTGTATAAATATAATTTTGACACACCGAAGGAGCACATCTTTCATAATGATGCATTCAAAACAAGATTTAATGAGCCTAGGGCGTATAAGGTCCAACTTTCTGGAATGTCTAAACAGCTTCTACCAGAAGATAAGCTGAATGAAAGGAGTATACCTTGGGCTCGTTATCAAATGGCTGTTACCAAATATAGCGATGATGAAGTATCAAGTAGTTCCATATATGGTAATTTTGATGGTTTACAGCCTGTTGTTAATTTCACTCAGTATTTAGCAGATGACGAAAATATAGTGGATGAGGTAAGTTACAGAGAGTATTCGATCCCAGTGATGGCCGAGGAGGTTCTTCCGGACAAGGAACACAGTCTGATCGATGGATCATGCAAAATAATGAAAGAAATAAAATATGGTTAACGTCCTACCTTTCTGCAGCCAGACTAATGAAAACGGGCACATACCATACATCGACGCTACGGCCTACTTTTATTTCGAAATCCAACTTTCAAGAGTTCTAATGTGTACACTGGGACTTGGTTTTCCTTTCGATCCGACGACTATACTAGAGGAACTTTTTCGACCAACACCATGGGCTAATCTGAGACCTGGTTAGCGAGCTAGTGCCTTACTCACTGAACCACTCTAGCTCCCATAAAATAATGAGCAGAGCAGTTGTTTATAAATTGCAATAATAACAATGGGAGATTAGAATAATCTGTAATTTCAGATGGTTTAGTTTACAAAGTTGAACATGCGACTCTAAATAATGTAAACATTATGAAATTTAAAGCACGATTTGGTAAATTATGTAAGTATAGGGCCTAACACTTAATGTGTATCGGGATATACCTATACTAACACGTATATTCATGAATGTATATTTAATTAACCGCGTAAAGACCAGGATCTACAAATTTCATATGTCTGTGAATATAACAATAATTTGTTTTCTTTATTCATTTATAGGACCTGGTGTTATGGATGTCCATGGGGATGTACCACATACCACACTCAGAAGATCTTCCTTTAACCCAAACACCAGGGAAGCATCTGACTTTTCTCATATCGCCACATAATTACTTCCATGAAGATCCATCCATGTCATCTAGGGATCAAGTCAGGGTTCAGTTAAAGGAACCTAATAACCCTAAAGCTGGAGTTCGAGTTGATAGATATTTTAGTAAACCGAAAATTGCATGTGTTAGTAAAGAAATTGACTTCGATAAGGATGTAGAAGACAATCCTTGTAATATCTTAGATGTGTAATAGATTGTGATTTTTTTTTATCATTTTGTCAGTTAACTGTGATGTCCATGTACATTTTATGAGACATATGCGCCAAGGGTTATTTACCATTGTCAATCCCCACGATGTTAAGCAGGAGTCCCATTTAACTTGTCAGGTAATGATTCAGGGGCTAATGACCAAATATTGAAGTTAGTACACCATTGGCGCAGAAAAGTTGGAAGCTAAACCTCATAAAACTATATGCCATAGTTATGGTTTTGAAAAATTAATTCGTAACGTTTCTAGGTGGTCGCTTACTACGATTGAAGGCAATTCATTTTCCCATGAAGAGACGTTTTCCTCATTCAAGTCTACCTTAACTGTTCAAAAGATCACTAATAACGAGTGTTCTGATCAAGGACTGCCATGACACCTTGATGTTTTACAGAGCATTTAGCATCTTATACCCTAGTTTCAAATAAGTTGGCACAACTTTGGTCATGGTATTTGGGAAATTTAATAGAGAAGAAATGTGTATCATAACGAAAGCTGTACCAGACAGTGGTGTAGCACGATGGGGCCTCTGGGCGATTGCCCCGAGTGCAAAATTACGAAAGAAAAATAAAATGTTGTCTTCCAATATATTTGCTGTGATAATGTCTTATTCATAGTTCATCTGTTTCAACTATGTAATATACTCTTCAAAAAAAAAGTAGGGGATATTGAAATGCAAATACCTATGCAGGTTGTGATATGATAAATAGTCATGGACACTTGACATGCCTTGAGAGTATGTTCACAGATGAAGAACTTATCGCCCCAACAGAACCACTGAGTTGCACATGCGACACGCAATAGCGCCATACACGTGGGAGAGGTTCATTGTCAAATTTGACACTTCAAGAAAGAGTTGATGAAAACTGCCGCGTGCTGGTTTATCTATCCATGTTTGCTTTCTTATCGGTTCTTGCATAAGATTTACTGTTGATCGTATCTTTTCTTTAGTATGTTATGTTTAATTTGATCGGTAGACGTGTTCGTCGATGCCAACGTCAACCGACAACACTGCAAGAATTGGCCGTGGCATTGCAAGAGGAGTGGGTCAGATTGCCCCAAATTGTGATTGGACGGTTGATTTGGAGCATGCTACGACGAATTGCTGAATGTCTGAGGATTGGCGGAGAAATTACTCATTATTAAGACAAAAATCAAAAACGTCAATTTTCACTTTTGACGGTGTATCTCTTTGCGAGTGAAATGGGGCCGTCAGATAAGCCGCCATATGAACTGTTTATGTTCATATGTAGGCAATTGGCCTGTTATTAACATACACTGGTTACCTCTAATATAAACAGCAGTGCATTTACGCAGTTTTGTAATGTTTCTGAATATCCCCTACTTTTTTTGAAGAGTATATATACTTAGACGCAATAGAATTGCAGGACTTTTATATACTAAACAGCAAAAAAAAAACCTCAGTACGATTTCAAAATCAGAGAGGCACTTTAATCAAATCATTCTAGAAAAAGACTTACTAAATGGATCAAAGCAATTTTTTGTGAACAGTATGTTGACACATTAAGTGATTAATTCATCACAATTCCAACACATTACGAGAAGGTTTAGAGTCTGTACACAGTCTATACATCAGTATCAGTACCGCGAGTGTCAATAACAGCAGCACAGCAGCGCAGCGTCTGTACATGAAGTGGATCAGACGATCCATTGCCTGTGTTGCCAGTTCTGGTGTTGTTGAGCAAACTGTAGACGTTGACGTCGATGGCGAGGAGAGTCCGTGCTAAGTTCTACTGCAATGGATGTTCTCTCTGGTGAGACGTCGGCGCACTGTATCGGTACTGATGGGTCTTCCGTGTGTTCTCACTGTCTCACGTGCTGTCTCAGATGGCTGTGTGAAGGGATTCTGCATGTGCTGTCGCACAACATGGCCGTCTTGTCGCCTTGTGGCAACCATTGGTCTACCAGTTCGGAGGCGATCATCCGTGGTGTTGGTGGCCCAAAAGCGTTGCTGAAGCCTGTAGATGGTCCGAACATTGACCTGGAAGTTATTGGCAAGTCTTCCAAGCACCTGTTTCCTCTGACCTGTCATGAGTCATGGTATTTTTGAGAACATTTCCTGGGTTCAATTCTGTGTTTAGGAAGGAGCCTTATTGCTCAGGTAAAGTTGGAGATGTGGTCACAAATATACAATAAAAACATATGGCAAGTTTTATGCAATGCTCTATTCAGAGTAACATACCAGCCTGAGGTTTCTTTTGCTGCTTATATGGTTGATTTGAGAAATACACTTAAATGTAGCAATTCTAAATGCAACATCTGATCACAACGCTAACAATCCATACGTCATACTTAAGCTAAAATAGTTGTTGAGTGATTTTGAAATTCTCGATGATGGCATACACCAATTATCTCAAATTTGACTTCTAGATAGAAGGACTTTAGCTAAAGCCAATCATAATACAAATATGTATAGACTCATTTAAAAAATATATAATATATCATAAACATAAGTGATTGACAATCAGAATAAATTAGGCACAGTTATAAAAATCCATGTATTAAACTTAATGATCATATTGTTCATTTTGAGGGTTTTCGCTGTTCTATGTAATCAGGATTCATTTCATCACAAAACGGCTTTGCACTTAATATTAATATTTTTATCTTTAAGAAACTTTACTTTAGTATACCCAGTATGAGCGTAACTTAAAAGGCTATGAGTCAAAATTTGTACCAAATGTAGTTTAACCACACTTTAACCCATTTCAGTACTAGCAGAAAGGTGGATCAATGAGACTACTGAACCGATTTACTTCATTTAATTTTTAAAATTCATATCAAGGGTTGCACATTGTGCTCTTGAGTGACAAAGATAATTATTCTTGTAACATGGATGGGAAATCCTACTTTGTTCTTTTCGTTGAATAAGCAGATTGTTTTCCTCTAGTAGACTGGCTGGAGCTCAACTGTGCAATAACTAGACATTTTCAATGTTATTGCACACTTTTACTTGTCCATGCCAGTTTAAGTAGAAATCATATAGAGAAGTGGGGTGGGTTTTTCTGTGCAATAACAACGAGCATGTTGAGCAGGTGTAAATGTTACAAGTTATTTATAGCACGCTTCATTCGTTAATCACAGAGGCCGTAGGCTGAGGTGTTAAACCTGTTGTTAACTCATGAAAGACCTGCTATAAATATAATTTAATATAGCTTAGGAAGATACTTTAGGGATTAAATCTTTTCTCATCCAAGTTACTTTAGATGGATCACAACACAGTTCCATTACATGTCTATTACATCCTTCTGTTGGTTGACATTTCTTTGATGTAGGAGGTAGGGGAGGGGGTGGAGGTGGGGCCACAGTAGTAAACCCATTTGGGTTCGGATGGTGAGGAGCAGCAACTGTATTTGATGGTGGTGGTAGAGTAGTGGCTGTTGAGGGAGGTAGGGTAGGTGTACTTTTTGTACATCTGGTTGTAGATTGTGTTAATTTGTCTATCTGAAATAGATAATAACAGAATTTCCTAAACAAATATTTATGTCTGAGACAACTTAAACTAAATAATTTTATGGATATCGACACCCTTTGCCTCTAATAAATAGGTAAAATCTTGTAAATCATTGAAACAGATAAGAAAAAAGTAATTTGTTTGGTTACGCAATGAAAATCCCTGTTTATTGGCTGATATTTTTACATTTTTTTAGCATAATACTTAGCCCCCCCCCCCCCACTTTAGCTAGATAATTATTTTCGGATTATGCCAACAAATTTGGGAGGGTTCACAATTCTGGTCTTTACTTAAATACTACAGATGGACAAAAAAAGATACAAAGGTCACATTTCTACAGAATACAATTACTGCTTATTACTCAGCGATGTTTTGACTAGGTTTCTCTAGTCTTTTACAAGCTATGATATAACCTAAAATGCGATGGGATAATATTATGGAGTTCCTATAGCTACTCAGAAAATCCAATATGCGAAACCCATAATGACCGAAGTTTTGTGTTGTGCCAAATTAAAGTAAAGCCCAGACAACTGACCCAACATAGGGGATCACGTGGCTAAGTGGGTAAGACGCTAGCTCGCTAGCCTGGAGGTCGGGTGTTCGATCCCTGCATTGGCCGAGAAAGTTCATCCAGATTTTCCGGCGTGGTTCTCCCTTGTCAGTGATGCAGGACGGAGGGGCTGACAAGGAAAGCTGTCTAGTCGTTCGGATGGGACGGAAAACCGAGGTCCCGTGTACACATTGGCGTGCACGTAAAAGATCCCTTGGCAGTTGGAATTCGATATAAGAGTAGGCCGTAGTGCGGCTGTCCAGGCAAAATTTCCCTCATAGCACACTGTATGGCGTATGCCCGTCTTCATTAGCCCAGGTTAGGAGCAGAACAGTAGGACGTTAAACTCCATTTCATTTCATTTCTGACCCAACATTATAAATACATACCATATGTTGAGGTAGTTTACTGGCATTAGCTCCTAATGTAATAACAGGATGGCTTTCTGTATAACCTAGATGACTGTAAAACTTTTCTTTATCAATTGTATTTAGAAACATCTGTTTATAGCCCTTACTGAAAAGAAAAACAAACTTGATTGTCAGATTTAGCTTGCATCGACACATGTGACATGACATAATTTAAGGGACTACTTGATGCTAAACTTAGGAGTACAGCCCCTACATTTTAACAAACTTTTATCTTTATGATCTATCAATTTTAAAAAGAAATCCTAATCAGAATAAACACCAGTCTGGCAACATATCTAGCAAATTTTGAAGGAAATACATTAAGTGGTTTTGGAGAAGTCGAAAATAAATAATTTTTTACGCCGTATGAACCTGAAATACAATTTTTCTATAAACTTATTCTGTAAAATGCTATGAATTTATAGAACTTTTAATTATTGTAACTGACATAGACAAACACAGAAAAACATTTCCAACTGGAAAAATTTAAATTAAGAACTATATGTACAATGATATTACTGTGTGATGTTACTATACATTATTGACAAAAAAGCCAGATTGTCTAAAGTTGGGGTAGAAATTATTGTAAAATGCCCACTAGATGATCTCACATCAAAATATAAAAATATTTTTACCAACTAGCAAATTTTTCTGATTCTTCCATCATTCTTCTACCAAAACCTCTACCTCGTAAATCTGATTTTACAACCACTGAAATAAATCATCATAAATATTTATGAAAATGAAAAATGAATCTGTGATGAAGGGTGCCATCTGTGTTAAAAATAAAAATATCTTTAGGTGAACAAAAAAGGAAAACCCCAATAAATAAAATATTATTATTATTATAATCTGGCGTGGACACTTATGAAAGCAAATCTGTCCTTTCAGTATCAGTATCTTTTCCGAACAAAAAATCCTGGATCTGTGCTTAAAATAAAAAATATAGTAAAAATTAGTCACATACATGCCATACAATATAACGTAGAACGACAAATAAAGATTCTGAACCTGTGCTAAAAAATGTGTTAAATGTTATTTTATTCAGACATTATTTCATATTCTTTAAGCACTTTTTAAGTGTATTTGTCACATACTTACCTGTTTCAACATAACAGGCATTATCTACACCTTGAGCTTCCAAAATTCGACTGTGACCTATGACCTCTTCTTTACCATTCTCTGTCAGTACTAGAATTATACTACATGGAAGTTTATCACATGATTTTTCTAATGTCCACAGTCTGGAAAAAACAAATTACACCAATAATTTTATAATAAAGTAGCCTTGTAATTGCTATCGACACACAGTCGCAGTTATCTATTAATTACAACCCTTGTTTTATCTGAAAAAAAGAACCATAAGATTTCAACAGTAAAAAAATATCAGCTTCAACAATTCTGCTTTGAATGTTGCCGATTTTAAAATTTACTGAAAAGACAAATCACTAATTATATATATATATATATATATATATATTTTTGTAGCCTGCTGCCTTGCATTGCAAGATTGTCATGTAAATGTGTAAGTATTTTTTGTTGTGTTTTGAGTCGCCCTATTTCAAATAAAGTCATTATATCTTTTAGCATAAAATATACAAAAATATTACATATAACATTCATTTCTAAACAAAATGGAATGAAAAGGAGATTAACATCATACTTTTGCTGATATTTGTTGACAACTTAACAAGACTCTTTGTGTACACGAGTTACATGTAACACATGCATTCCCTGAAAGCGATATTATTATGGTTTCACACTGCGTAGCCAGTGTGAAAAACTATTGTTTTTGTTAAGATTATTATTCTTCTTATTATTATTATTATTATTTTTTCCACTTGAGCATATCTCAGAAACTATTTGTCGGATCAACTCGATGTCTTCGGTTTTACTGGGAAAGTGGGTGTGACTTAGAGATTAAAGCTATTTCGAACTTTCTGTGACAATGCGAAATGTCCGAAATCACTGAAGTTGTCGTTTTTTGAAATATTGCCGTAATATTAACAATAATTGTCGGATTTTAACATTTGATACATTTTACATAGCCTGAGACACGGCAAATAGCTACGATTGTTTAGATTTTTGATTTTCGATTAATCTTCGAAGATATTAGGCGCCAAATTTTGAAAATTTAAATTTTGACAAAAAACTTTTTTATTTATGAATATTTTTTTATGGCGCTTTACCTATAATTAAAGGGTCATGTGATTTGAGCAAAAATATGAAAAATTTTTGTATCGATAAATCACCTTGGCCGCTATTGGCTAATTCAGTTTATGGGTTCTGGGTTAATTATTTATTGCTTGATTTGTATAAAACAAAGTTCATATGCTCAATGATGCAAAGTCTCAACTTTTTTATTACTGATAAAGCTTTCTGTCAGCAGCGGAAATGACGTAATTTTGACCAAAACTACAATTTTGGCGGTTAGGTACGTCTTTTCGAAGGCAAATATTATTTTTTTAAAATAAGTAAAAAAGTAAGAAGTTGCGCCATGTAAAGGCGCAAAAAAAGTCGGAAGCAGTTTTTTTAATTTCGATTTCTTTTTTGCGCCATTTCGATTTAAAGGTGAAAAACGGTGTAAAATTGAGCTATTTACAACCCATTCAGGCGTTTCATATTTTAAAATATTTCTTTGTGACTTTCATAAACTTGTAGCATTAATTCATACGAAGAGAATCTATCTCAAAATTAGTTTGTAATATGAGCAGTTGCCGAGAAATGGTCAATTTTGCAAGTGTCACTTTTTACACTATTTTGCCCGTAAAAGAGTCAATTATTATTGGATAATCATAAAAGTGATACCATTTGATGCGTAATGTCAATTGTGACTAGGTCAAACCAATTTAACATTTTCAATATCATCGGAAATGACGTAATTTGGGCAAAAACTATATTTATAGCTTTCGAAACAAATAATTTATTCAGATGAGTCGTATTTGTTATTTGTTTAATATTTGGATAGTTGATTCCAATCAACTAATAGAATGAACCCATATGATCATATAGATATCACAAAATGGTTTCTAACTTGTTCCGTTGCGGAGAAATAGGCCATTTTCAACAGGTCACTTCTCAAGGTTTTTGGTCCATAAAAGTGTCAATTATTATTCGATTTTCATAAAATTTTCGTGTTTGATACGTAATGCCATTTACGATTTCATACAAGTAACTTAAGATTTTCATTATCACCGGAAGTAACGTCATTTTGGCAAAAACTGTATTTTTAGCCTTCAAAACAGATATTATATTCAAATGAGTCTGATTTGTAATATTTTTAAAATTATGATATTTGATTCCAATCAGCAAATAGATTGAACCCATACGATCATACAGATACCAGAAAATGGTTTCTAACTTGTACGGTTGCAGAGAAATAGACGGTTTTCTACAAGTCACTTTTCAAGGTTTTTGGTCTATAAAATTGGCAATTATTATTCGATTTTCGATTTACATAAAATTTTCACCTTGTGATGCCTTATGCCATTTCTGATTTCATAAAACTAATTGAACATTTTCATTATCACTGGAAGTACTGTACACTTACATGTAAAAAATGTATAAAATGAATTGATATTGCTGGATTTGGTTGATTCGGCGTCCATTTTATTTGATGTGTGCAATGCTTATGTGAAAACTTGTTTAATGATTTCATTGGTACCAGAAGTGACATATGTTTAGGGTAACGTGGCACCGGTGAAACCCGTCATTACTGCTTCGCAGTTCTAGTTATTAAATTATAATTATATTACGGTACCGTTATACCGTACTACTAATAGTCACTATTATATTATAAACAGTTATTATTATAGCAACCTTGCAGCCTTACTCCTTGACCAGTAAGTATTTATCAATTCTGCTGTTCCGTCAAGATATTTTTTATGTTCATGCAGAAGAAAAACCTGAATATTTGATTCCATTTCTTTTAACTTTCAGAATATAAACAAATCATGAAAAATTTGTTTACTTTCCCAACCAATTTGGGGGAAGATAACTCTATAATAACAAAATTTATGCTTTAAAAATTAGAGAAACGAAATAGGTTGGTTTGCCTTTTGAATACTTACATCGTAATTTTGTTTTAATTTTATATAAGTACCTAAATCAGCAACACATTTTTGTGTTATTTTTGAAAAGTATATGTATAACAGAAGTTATCAAAATAAATAATATTAAAAAATTTGTTTTGATCTATTTCTACAATCCATAATTTTTTAATTAAACAGGTGTCATGGCTGCCGAAAGTGAAGTTCTGAAGAAGTTACCGGCTTCTTTATCAGCAAAGTTCCAAGAGTAAGAATAATAATGTATGCCCAAGATGTAAGATCTTGCTGGATTGACAGGAAATCAATCAGAGTTAATTTAAGTGCCTTATAATACGCTTGACAATGTTACAAATCGAGCGTCATTATAAACCAAAACGACCAACCTTTGAACCATTGATTTTGGTCATAACATAAACAGTAACAGCCAATTAAAATTAAATATTACTGTGTGAACCATCGTAAATTTTAAACGGATTTCTTCGATTATGAACAAACTACTTAACTTTGGTTATTATAAACTTACCTGTGTGTTTGTAATGAACTCCCGTTCGATAAAATCCATTGCACAACTAATTATCACAACGATGAGAACAAGTTCTCTCTTGAAAAATTTGAAAATTTACTTGTAATTTCGACAGAGTCGATTTCAACAATGTCTTCGTGACGTATTGGTCGAATCCAATATACCTGTTGCGGGGGTTGGTTAACATTGAAAGATAGTTTGACAGCGCGATCATTTTGATCGTATATGGGTTTGGGCGACGAAAAATATCAATTGAAGGCAATTACATAGGAGATTTATATGGAAACCATTGATCGCCAGTCTATCAAATTTTCTTCACAATTAAAATATCACTGATTGCACGGATACTCGTAAAAATAAAGTCATGTATAAACTATAAATATCCTATCTTCTTTATGTTATAAATAATTTAACAAGGATCATGAAGCTTACCTCCGAATTCTCTGAGTGTATTTTTAATTTTATACGCATTCTTTCGATCGAATAATAACCGCTTCAGTAACATCTTTAAGCGTGTTGCGGCAGCCCTCAGCGTTATTGGGTGCCCGGGTGGGTATATAATGCTACTAAGCCCGTGTGACCCCGTAAGAAGCGGAACATTAATTCTCGATTCGACAGTTTTGACCGAAGTGTGATAAAGCCCGTAAAACGAATGTATAGTTGTGTTTGTGCGGCATGCGTGTTCAAAAGTAAATAATCCCATCCGAGTCGCTAATCAAATAATTAGAACAAAATATTTCAAAAAGTAAAGCTATAAAATTTTCAGAGATTTTACTAGAATGTAAAAGACGGTAACTAAATACAGGAATGCGGGTAGTTATGTGTGCGAACGCTCAAACTCAATGCCAATTGTCGTAGGTATCCAGACCACTCGGACTAAGACCAGTCGGACCAAAACAAGACCAGTCGGACCAATTAAATTATATTATAAGGCTAGACAATATGCTATTTATTTATTATTAAATCACAATACAAAGAAGCAAATAATTCCTATACGGAATTCTTATATTTAGAGTTGTTTAGTTCAATTTTGTGTACGGAAAATAAATCAACGATTAGTTTTAAAATTAATTAATAATGGTGCCAAAAAAAAATATCAATCTAATTTTTCTTTACTCTTGCAATGATATTCGGTATGTCCAGACTTTTGACAGTTTCTACATATACGGGTATACTGTTCTTGTCTGATAGCCTAATTTTACTTTTTCCACATTCGCGGTATCCCCAGTGGTTTCATTCCGTTCTACCCCACTAACCCCTGGGTTACTATATATGGGGGGGGGGGACACGTTTTCAAGTTATCCGCCCTTGATGCGTTAATATAAACAGCACATAATAATACGAAGACCGGACGTTTATATGCCCCTTTTTAAACGTGACTACAAGTGTGGTTCTCGATAATTTGCGATTTGGAATACAATTATCAATTTATTCAAACAACACGTTATTATTAGTTCGCGTACTCATATTAAAACACACACAATTAGCAATTTATTCAAATAACACTTTATTATTGGTTTGAGTAGTCATATTAAAATAAACACAATTATCAATTTATTAAAATAACACTTTATTATTGGTTCGAGTAATCATATTAAAACAAACGCAATTATCAATTTATTAAAACAACACTTTATTATTGGTCCGAGTCGTCTTTCTGTTGGGTCCGAATAGTCTTTTTCTATGGTCCGAGTTGTCTATTTGTTTTGGCTGAGTGGTCTATCAGTTGGTCCGACTGGTCTTAAACCGTGTGGTCTTTGGTCCGAGTGGTCATGGATTCTTGTCGTAATTGTACTTGAATTTCCTATGCTGTCACCCCTAATACGAAATGATATCTTCCGCAGAGTGACGTAACCATCTTCCATATTGGTATTTTTCTCTGGGAAAAGTTTGTGATATTTCAATTTTTCAAGAGAGAACTTGTTTTCATTGTTGTGATAATTAGTTGTGCAATGGATTTTATCGAACGGGAGTTCATTACAAACACACAGGTAAGTTTATAATAACCAAAGTTAAGTAGTTTGTTCATAATCGAAGAAATCCGTTTAAAATTTACCAAGACTCAGACAGTAGTTATTTATTATGACTCCAATGATAACATAAAAACACATTTTTTACCTTTTAATAATATGTGATCAACCTAGTAATTAATTTAATTTAATAAAAGTTCAAGTGTGTAAGGTCTGTATGGGATAAATAAAACACAAGTAACAATGTTTAATTTCTTTATTATTGTGAATGGTCTGTCTTCGGCCTCACCTAAATCAGAAGAAAAAACAGTTATTACAAATAAATACATAGAATTGTTCAGCTTTTATTGAGTCCGAAATGTCGCCAGTCCGAGTCCGAAAAGTCGCCAGTCCGAGTCCCAAAAGTCGCCAAGTAAGTCTGAAAGGTCGTCAAACTGAGTCCGAAACGACGTTTGTGTTGAGTCCGAACTGACGCGGGACCGAAATGAGGTGCTACCGTCCCGTTGACCTTGTGATACAGAAATGATCAGCGCATGGTACATGCAACTTTGAATATAAACTAGTTAAAAGATTACGAGTAGACGACATTGTAAATATAAGCTTAAATCCTAAAGAGGCATTAGCGTTTTGGAGATCTAAATACATAATTTTCGATTTGACTATTCAGTCACATGCATTCGGTTTGGCATGAATCGGTCAATTCATCACTAATGAGTTAACAGTAAATTTATACTCGCTTAAAGTAGCATAAGTTACATGTATGTAGGAAATGATAGATGCGTTATGAAGATTTCAAGAAAGCGAAGTGACGAACGCAAAAGGAAAACACAAGTTATCCTTCTATATAACTTATTAAAGTGACGAGTTATAACAGATACACAGGCGAATTCCTGCTCACTAATAATTCCTTTGAAGACCAAAAGTTGTTATATGAGACTGTGGGAGGATACCTGACTATTCAAAAAAATGATTGACTGTCACTACTATAAAAATAGAAAATGTCTGTGCATTACCATGTTTTTATTAAACATACATTATGCAAGAGCTATTAAATCTGCCTATTGCCTATTGATCGAGGCTAGGCCGTAAATTCAATAGCTAAAATCTTGGTTTGGAGTGGATCAATTTGACTGAAATTTTCAGCAAATTCCCCTTACAGTATCTAGTTTTTATACGCCAATATTTTCATGTGGACGTATATTGTCGTTGCCCCTGTCCGTCCGTCCACAATTGTTTGTGGACACTCTACAGATCACAATTTTTATCCGATTTCAATGAAACTTGAAATATAGGTTTATCTCCCTAAGATCTCAGTTCCTTTTAATATTGGCATGTATCGGACCGTAATTTCATAGATTATAGCCCCTGATTGTATGAAAAATCGCATTTTTAGTTTGTTGACCCTATAGAGGTTACAACTTTTATCCGATTTTGATGAAACTTGACATGTAAGTTTATAGCCCAAAGATCTTGGTTCCTTTCGATATTCACGCATAACGGACCGTAACTTCCTGAATTATGGCCCCTGATTGTACGAAAATCGCGATATTAGCTTGTGGACCCTATAGAGGTCATAATTTTTATCCGATTTAGAAAAATGTTTGAGTATATCACCGTTACACCCAAAGATTGGTTGAATTTCGTAAAAATCGGACCAAAATATTATAACCCAAAGATCTTTGTTCCTTTTGATATTCGCGCATATTGGATTGTAACTTCCTGAATTATGGCCCCTGATTGTACGAAAAATCACGTTTTTAGCTTGAGGTCCCTCTAAAGGTCACAATTATTTTCTGATTTAAAAAAACGTTGTAGTATATCACCTTTGCACTGTAATTTTGGCTGAGTTTGAAGTTCGTGAAAATTGGACTAAAACTGCTGGACAAAATAACATCTGGTATATCAAACTTGTGGACTCTCTAGAGGTCACAATTTTGATCTGATTTTGATTTTGATGAAACTTGAAATACATGTTTATAACCCAAAGATATTGGTTCCTTTCGCTATTCGTGCGTATCGGATCATAATGTCCTGAATTATGGCCCCTGATTGTATGAAAAATCACGTTTTTAGCTAGTGGTTCACAATTATAATCCGATTTAAAAAGATGTTCAAATATATCACTGTTACACCGTAATTTTGATTGAGTTTGGATTTTAAAAACCATTTAAATATATTACCATTCCACCATAATGAATGTTGAATTCGAATTTCGGGAAAATTGAAATGAAACTGCCTGACAAAATGTCTGCTCTTTGTACGCAAATTGTGTAAAAGTATGCAATACGAAGGTTGTGGACCCTCTAGAGGTCACAATTTTTATCCGATTTTGATGAAACTTTAAACATATCTTTATATCCCAAAGATCTCAATCCCTTTTGATATTTGTGCATTTCAGACCATAACTTTCTGGATTATTGCCCCTGATTGTACAAAAAATCCTGTTTGTTTTTAAATTGTTCTCTATCCATCTCTTGCAAAATGTGGCCGTATCCTGCCTGGCAGCTGCTGTTTTTTCCAATTTTAAAAACCCTTAAAATATTTCACCATTCCACCATAATGAAGGTTGAATTCAAATTTCGGAAAAATCGAAATGAAACTGCCCAACAAAATGGCCACTCTTTGTACGCAAATTGTGTAAACGTATGCAATACGAAGGTTGTGGACCCTCTAGAGGTCACAATTTTTATCCGATTCTGATGAAACTTAAAACACATCTTTATATCCCAAAGATCTCAGTCCCTTTTGATATTTGCGCATTTCAGACCATAACTTTCTGGATTATTGCCCCTGATTGTACAAAAAATCATGTTTGTTTTTAGATTGTTCTCTATCCATCTCTTGCAAACTGTGGGCATATCCTGCCTGGCAGCCGCTGGTTAGCTATTATGGTGAGAACTGCCAGCTCTTTATCTAATCTCCCATAATGTATCTTGAAGTATAGAATGAATAAAAGCAAGGGAATGTACAGACTATTTCTATTTTTCTCGTTTGCCCTTATTTAGTGGCATTCAATTACTTTTTTGAATTATCAGATATCCTCTCACAGTCTCACATAACAACTTAAGGTCCTAGTTCTTCGCACCACTGGGCTAGTGATGAAATTTTGCCCAGATAGCGATGCTACAGCCTACTCTTATATTGAATTCCAACTGTCAAGGGATCCGTTACATGCATGCCAATGTGTACACGGGATCTCTGTTTTTCATCCTCTCTAAATGACTAGACGCTGTCCTTGCCAGGCTCTCAACCACAGAGACTGGAAGTGCTCGCCAGACATAATACAGCTGAAATGTGATTTTTGCCACAATTGATGGCTACACTTTACTGAGACAAGATAGTCAAAAACAACCCATGGTGGCCATAACAACTTTTAAATGAAATATTGGCAAATGAGGTCAAAAAAAAGAAACACAGACCGAATGAAGGAATTAAGCCTCCGACGGCTGCTTGCTGAATCCTTCTTCACAGTGCTGCTTCCAGTGGCTGCGGTACTCATGGACCATTGAATTTATGCAATGGCTTGTTCATGGTGTTCAAGAGTCAACCTTGGCAGAACTGTAGGAGTTGTACTATGCTAGCTTTTTAAAAGCCACTTGTTAAACCCAATGACTGCCCCATAAAATTGTGATTTTCAACATTTCTATACTATTGAATTAAATATTTTATGTTTTAGAGAATTGATCTGTGGTGCTTTTACATGATTGTGAAACATCATTCTCATGTGCTATAGTCGTGATCTGATGTTATTACATTTAGAATTCCATGATTAAATTACATATTTGACTCTAAAACAACCTAGTTTATGTTGTTGATGTCCTTGGATATTTCTGAAATATCTGAAAAAATATACCGGTAATCAGTGTCAGATTTTGATCTGATGATAAAATAAAATGTACATTGTAGCTGTATATTCTTATTGTATTTTGCTTTCAGCTCATTTGCATATCTAACAATAAAGGATCGTATGCCAGTTATTTTAACAAAGGTTGTAGATTCTGTTCATCGAAAAAAAAATAACCTTGGACCTGAATTTGGAGAGGTAATATATTTACACATACAATCATAACAACATGTCATCTTACTATATAGAAATATGTCACATCACAATTTACGCTTGAACTTCATAGTAACTTGGTTCATTATAAGTACAAGTATAAAGCGTAGACTTAGAAGTATGATAGACCCGGAAGAGCGTTATAATCAAGTCCCAGTCCCAGAATTTGATTGTACTATTTACAATCAAAAATGCTATTAACACTCTTGGAATGCCACACCATCTCTATGTGGTTTGATAATATTTTATTACTTTGTTGACATATATACATGTGTTTGCTGATTAGGTACTTGTTATGAAAACCCCGGCCGAAGCCTTCTATACAGGGAGGAAGTGTGACATTCAAGGAGTATAAATTAATAAGTGCAATCAGTATTAGATAAACTTCCTTGTAGCTCCAAGGTGAATGTATTGAACTACAATGTCTATTGTTATAATGGTACAGCATGTCTAAACTCCAAACCATCTTAATTTTAATGTAGACAAAGAAAATGTTTCACACATGAGATGTTCTCAAAATTATTCAATAATTTTAGGATGGTGCTGAAGATCTTAAAAACATTGCAGGACATATTTCCAAACTCCGATATGAGATTCAAACAAACAAACCAGTGATACCACTAGAGGATGATAGATCAGACACCATAATATGGAACCAAATCTTAGAAAAACTAACCAACGAAAATGATAATGAACCACCAAAATGGTTTAGTTCAGCTTGGCTATATTTAGAATGTTATATGTATAGAAGGTTACAAGAAAGTGTGGAACTATGGTAAATGATTGCTTATATTTGTGAGTGTCCTCCCTTGTATGTAGCCTAAAGATACAATATATCTGAACCATAATTCTATCGTTATTTGATAATCATGTTAATGCTAACTTTATATTCCCATAGTAAGGAATAATGGAAGCATAGCTGGTCAGACTATTTGACAAATAAGCTAATTTTAAGGATATATTTATATGTCAGGGAATATGGTAAGCGGTATTGCATCACAGTTTGCTAAACAAAAACGACGTAAGTGCGAATCAGATATTAATTTGATTAGCAGAAAGTTATCAAATTTAAGGGAATCTGCGAATCAAGTTTCTTGTCCAAAATTAAGCGTGAAAAAATGTTTAACAAACGTGATTTATCGTTCTACTGCGTATGGACATTTTAATCCCCTTGATGTCGGTCGATGAGATTAAAAGTATTCAATGATTAGTCAATAAATTATTGTAAGCTAACATTTTAACAGTCATTCAGTTCACGATCTAACTAAGTAATTAGTACAGACGTTAAATTTGATCATCCTGTAAATATACAAGCTCGATAATTACTCACAAAACAATAATTTTTTTTACGCCCACATTTTCATGTGGACGTATATTGTCATCGCCTCTGTCCTTCCACAATTTGTTTATGGACACTCTACAGGTCACAATTTTTATCCGATTTTGACGAAGCTTGAAATATAGGTCTATCTCCCAAAGATCTTGGTTCCTTTTGATATTGGCCCCTGATTGTACGAAAAATCATGTTTTGAGCCTGTGGTCCCTATAGAGGTCACAATTTTTATCCTATTTAAAAAAAAACCTGTGAATATATCACAGTTATACACTAAGGATGGTTGAGTTCGAATTTCGTGAAAATTGGACTAAAACTACCGGACAAAATGACCGCCCTTCGTTCTCAGATAACGTAATAATATGGTATATCAAGGTTGTGGACCCTATAGAGGTCACAATTTTTATCCGATTTTGATGAAACTTAAAATGTAAGTTTATAACCCAAAGATCTCGGTTCCTTTCGATATTCACGCATAGTGGATCGTAACTTCCTGAATTATAGCCCCCGATAGAGCGAAAAATCACGTTTTTAGCTTGTTCACAATTTTTATCCAATTTAAAAAAAACATTTGAATATGTCACCGTTGCAGCCTAATGAAGGTTGAACTTGAATTTAGTGAAAATCGGACCAAAACTGCCGGACAAAATGACCACCCCCTGTACTCAAATAGGTGTAAATACATGTATATGCTATATCAAGATTGTTTTGATAAAACTTGAAATTTATGTTTATATTACAAAGATCTTGGTTCCTTTTGATAATCGTGCATATCCAAACGTAAATCTTGGATTATGGCCCCTGATTTTTTTAAAAGTCACATTTTTAGCTTGTGGACCCGCTTAAAGTCAAAATTTGTATCCAATTTTAAAAAAAGTTTAAATATATCACTGTTGTTACACATTAAAGAAGGTTGAGTTCGAATTTCGTAAAAGTCTGACCCAAACTGCCGGCCAAAATGGTCGCTCCTTGTACAAAAAATCTTTTTAAAATGGGTTTGTCTGTCTGTCTGTCTGCTTAGGGTAAGAAGAGATAAACAATTTGATTGGTTGTTGCTTTGGGACACGATAGTCGATAACTTTAGTTCTAATTAAGTGAGAGTGATGAAACTTGGTGAGTAGTTTTATTAGATCATTACCTTGACTAAGTTCGATAATGAGCATTTTCTGCACAGGGTAAGCATAGTGATAAGCAATTTGTTGGCCGAGACTTCGGAACACGATAACTCTCCTTCTAATTGAGGTAGAATGTTCACACTTTGTGTAGGCTTTCATTAGGTGAATGTCTTGATGGAGTTCGATGATAAACATTGTCTGCTTACGGTAAGCAGAGATAAGCAATCTGATAGGTTGGTGCTTTAGGGCACGATAACTTATATCATTACCTTGACTAAATTTGATGATGAGACTTTTCTGCTTAGGCAAAGGATCGATAAGCAATTTGATTGGTCAAGACTTTGGAACATAACAACTCTGCTTTTAATTGAGGTAGAATGTTTAAACTTGATGTAGATGTTCATTAGGTGAATGTCTTGACTGAGTTCATTGATTAGCATTTCGAGCTAAAGCTAAACAGAGGTAAACAATTTCATTGGTTGATGCTTTGGAACAAGATAACTTTGATTCTATCTGATAGAGAGTGATGAAACTTAGTGTATAGTTGATAATCAGTTTGAAACTTTTGAAAAAAAATAAATGTGCGATTAATTAATATGTGTCATCTATTTATTTTGGAATTTCAGCTTGGGACATCAGCCTCACTGTTGGCTTGTTTTTTGTTCTCCGCCTTTCGTCTGTCTGTCTGTCTGTCCGTCCGTCCATCACACTTTTTGGGACACAATAACTCTCCTTCTAATTGACCTAGAATGTTCAAACTTGGTGTAGTTGTTTATTAGGTCAATGCCTTGATGGAGTTCGAAGATGAGCATTTTCGGCTTAGGGTAAGCAGAGATAAGCAATTTGATTGGTTGATGCTTTGGGACACGATAACTTTAGTTCTAATTACGTGAGAGTGATGAAACTTGGTGTATAGTTTCATTATATCAATACCTTGACTAAGTTCGAAAGTTAGCATTTTCGGTTCAGAGTAAGCAGAGTGGTAAGCAATTTGATTGATCGAGAATTTGGAACACAATAACTCTCCTTCTAATTGAGCTAGAATGTTCAAACTTGGTGTAGTTGTTTATTAAGTCAATGCCTTGATGGAGTGTGAAGATGAGCATTTTCTGCTTAGGGTAAGCAAAGATAAGCAATTTGATTGGTTGATGCTTTGGGACACGTTAACTTTAGTTCTAATTAAGTGAGAGTGATGAAACTTGGTGTATAGTTTCATTACATCCATACCTTGACTAAGTTCGATGATGAGAATTTTCTGCTTAGGAGCAATAAGCATTTTGATTGGTCAAGACTTTGGAATATAACAACTCTTCTTCTAATTGAGGTAAAATGTTTAAACTTGATGTAGATGTTCGTCTTGACTTAGTTCAATGATTAACATATCGAGCAAAAGCTAAGCAGAGATAAGCAATTTCCTTGGTCGATGCTTTGGGACAAGATAACTTTGATTCTATCTGATAGAGAGTGATGAAGCTTAGTGTATAGTTAATAATCAGTTTGATTGCTTGATACTTTTGAAAAAAATAGATGTGCGATTAATTAATATGTGTCATCTATTTATTTGGGGATTTCGGCAGGGGACATCAGCCTCACTGTTGGCTTGGGTTTTTTTTTTTAGCTTGTTTTCTATACATCCCTTGCAAAATGTGGGCGTATCTTGCCTGGCATCCGCTAGGTTTTCCTTATCATATATTTTTTTTAAACCTTAGTTGGACATTGATATACAGTGTAGATGAAGGTGGTTCATTGTCATGACCCATTTGATATTAGACATTGATAATTCAAAAAGGAAAGAAAATTTTTATCAAAGGAGTAATACAGATTTCATAAAAAAAAGAAAATGTCTTCATTTTCAGTGAAGTTGGTGAAAGTTTTCCAACAAAATTTATGAATTTTAATCTTTTTTTTATTTCCAGTAAAGTGATGAAAGATTTCGATGTTTTTGAAGAATCCAAGAACAATGCCTATTATTCATCTGAACTAGCTATACAAACTTTACTTACAAATTTATTAGTTACAGTTGACAATATCGAAACAGAATCTGATAAAAAGCTATCTCAAAACCTGTTATTTCAACAGTACTTACAAGTAAGTTGAACTAATTGCTAAACTCATATTAAATGGATTAATAGGTTTGTAATGATTGGTCACATTTCTATAACAGTACTGTATATTTGTGAGCTAGTAATCTGTATTTCTAGAGTTTTGATAGTTTAGTATATATCTACCCTTGAATCAGTGATGGGATTTCAAAAATTTTCTTGTCAGACATTTTTACCGAAAATAAAGGGACATAACTCTTATTTAAGATGGCAGTTTTTAGACCACACACAAAAATCATGTGTAAACAAAATATTCAAATTCGTCCTTAATAAAAAAATAGGTGCACCTCGTTATTTTTTATATTAAATTCCCGTACGGTATTCAAATTTATGTCGGTGATATTCCTACAAAATTCGTAATACGATAGAATGAACGCGTGTCGACTACTGCCGATCTGTACTGTTTCAAATTCCTCCAAAATTACCGTATTTTCGGGTCATAAGTCGCTACATTTTTCAGCAGAAGTCCGGCATTCGTCTTATACTCCGTTATGACTTATGTACAGAGGGTAATAATATGATATCCCGAAATTTTTTGGGCAATAAAGGTCGCTCTACCACAACGAGCGAATGACACCATCCTCTAAATAATCGCATTCTACTCTAGCACGCGCTGTCGTCTAAAACAATTAAGTACTTACACTACTCCAATTGACATATTCGTCAACATTGCCTAGATTACTTATTTCTTTATTTAAAAACATAAACCCCATTCAAAATATGATCATAAATCCGAGAATATGCCATCAAAATAGAATCTTTTCTTCGACATTAGAAGCGTGTATTTTGTCACGTATTCATTTCATAATTTCACGCGTCTCGCGAGATTTCTAATACCGGTTCAGTTATCATACTTTAACCGTCTGAAGCTGTTTTTCTTTCAAGTTTAATCAGATTTTCTTCAAACAAGGACAACTTTGCTCTGAAAATTCTAAAAACGCTTGAAACGACGCAATTTTGATAACTTCTTTCTAAAACCGGCAAGTTCGTAGGTACATATCACTTACCGTCATACAGCCGAAGCTAGATGTAGAGTAACGGAATCTGCCGAGGTTTCCCGAGTGCTGTAACCGCGTGCTAGCAATGTCTAGTATTTTTCGGATGTGTGTGTGTGTGTGTGAAATAGCTTTATTTAACGCTTTCTTCCACTGAAGTGATATCACAGAAGAATTATGACTGTCTATTGATCTGGGCGTTATATACTCTTACAATATGTGACTTCTATGAGTTTATACATATTGTCGGCTCACATCAATGCGATTAAAATGTCCGACAATGCAGAAACCACGAGGTTAACACGAAGATTAAAATTATAATGGATTGATGAATAGTCCGACAAAGGGGAAACAATGGCTTCTGTTTAAGATTAGATTGATGAATTGTTCGACAAAGGATTAAGTCAGCCAATCAAGGCAGATTAAGTTGTTAATCAAGGTAGGTTTATAGACCGTATAACACGATAAATACGTTGATCACTTAATTACCTAATCAATCCAGCGTATTATCGACGATAATCTGGTTGAGTGGTAGTTATACACTCAGTAAACTATATTAATTTCGGAATTTTGAATATTATTCACCATGTCTTGATGTCCGATTGCGCATATTCTCGGTCGGACAATTTTGGGCGTTTGGAAAAAAAGATTCGGACAAGTCCGGAATATACGGGCAAAATCCCATCACTGCCTTGAATAATAATAATGTATTTATAATAATATGCCTATAATTCAATATTTTGTTGCTCTATGGTCAGAATACACAATCAAGAGTCTGTAGTACCAATACAAGGATTTATTTAATAACAATATATGCAGAAATTACATTACATGTCATATTCTTGGATACAGTTTATCTTTATTCTGAACATCTTTAATAGTTTTATTAGTAGACAACTGGTTTGATGTGTGAAATTCATAAATGTTGGATTAGGGTGGTGATCAATTATACACCAGGTGGAATGAAACATATTCATAGAGATCAGTGAATGGTTCATGACTGTATTAAAGATGTATTTACCAAAGTTATAAATTTTTATTTTAGGTATCATTATGGGGTAACAAATGTGATTTATCAATATCAGCTGGTATGGACAATGCTCAAACTAGCTGTATTCTAGATCAACTACAATCCCTTAAAGATAACATCTTAATCGATGACTCTTCACAAATCTGGAATTATATAAACACAAAGAAGGGAGTCCATCGTATTGATATTGTATTGGATAATGCAGGTTTTGAACTGGTTACCGATTTGTGTTTAGCTGAATTTTTACTATCTGCTGGTTTAGCTAAGTCTATACATTTCCATGGAAAAGCCATGCCTTGGTTCGTCTCTGATGTCACAGCAACTGACTTTTCATGGACGCTTAAAAATTTGTCTGCCACTAATAATTTAGCTATGTCCAAATTTGGCCGTCTATGGCAGGACCGCATTGAAGACAAAAGCTGGGTTCTACACTTCGATACATTTTGGACACTACCTTTTGATTTTGCGGAAATGAAATCTGAAGCTGCAGAGCTGTATAAAGAATTGGCCAAAGCTGACTTAATAATATTTAAGGGAGATCTCAATTACCGCAAACTGGTTGGAGACCTGAAATGGAATACTACAGAAACATTTGAAACAAGTCTACGAGGATTTCATCCAGCACCCTTAGTAACTTTACGAGCTTTAAAATCTGATGTGGTTGTCGGCTTAAAGGAAGGTCAAGGTGAAGAAACAAAGGAGAAGGATCAGTCATGGATGGTCAATGGAAATTGGGCTGTTATATCCTTTTGTGATAAAACTATCTGATATTACTTAGGTGATTAATTAAGTAAACAAGAAAATTATAATTCTTACAAATTACTTATAATTTTACTAATGCAGTTAACAAATTTGACTTTCATTGATTTATGTTTATTATTTTATAAATTTTATTATAAATAACAATTGCCTGTAACTAATTTATATTCATGGACTTCTATTTTTTTACATTGGTGCAACTGACAGTAAAATTAACCAAGTAGCTTTCCCATATATATTCTAGAGTATAAAGCTTGCTAATTCTTTATATGAATACTTTTTGTACCTTTATATTGTCACATTTAACTATCTGATGCTTTGCAGGGGCTGATCCAGGAATTTTTGCAGTGGGGGGATTGCAAGGTTCCTGTTAAAGAAATTTGATGCCATCGTCATCTCCAAATTATGTAGAAATACATATACACACTCAACTTTTTAAAGAGAGAAAATTGACATCAATTTTTATTATGAATTATGATACAATTTCATTGATGCAAAGCATTGATGATGATATCACATAGGTCTATATCATTATCTCACGCTTTGAATGCCCATCCCATCCCATCCCATCCCACCCCACCATCTGATGATAAAGGCTAACGCACACAACCGTTAAACAATTTATGTAGCTGAACGGGAGGAGATTTGGAACCGCCCCTGTGGAGACGTCCCTGCTTTGTAATAATATTTTGGAGAATTACAATTAGTAATCACTTTTCTTTGTCTGCATGCAGTGACAGTAAATCTGGGATGGCTTCATGAAATAATCAAAATCAATCTCAGTGGTAGGTTTATTCATTATCCTCATGTCTTCCTCAGTTGGGTTGAATGCCATTCTGCTGGTAATTAAAATTACATTACAATGTTTTGTTATTTTGGCTGATTTTATATTACATTGTAATCAAACCAACTTTCTCACACTGTTCAGCAGTGAATATTCACTAGGACACTAGGACTCTACAATCACTGTCATTCACTGAAAGGGATGACACCGGTTTATTAGCTAACAATATTAATTCTTTCCTTCTGCAAATTAAATTCTAGAACATTTTTTTGAAGTATTAGAAAAATGAAGTATATCTGAAGTATATCTACATAAAAATGAATTCCTATTTAGCGTAGGTATGTAAAATGAGTAAAAGGCACCATTCTGACTGGACCAGTATGATCTTATGTAAACAATGCACATGCTATCGAGCCAATGTTAGACGACGTCTGATGTGACGTCACACGTATTAGGCATGTGAACTTATAAAGGTCAGTCATCTTATACAGATTTAGAAGAAGGCTTTCACAATACCTCTGTGAAACAGATTGCATTCTTCTATCATCCCAATGTCGTGCGAGGATGTGTTCTATTTATATCAGACAATCGTATTCCAAATGGTTTTATTATAACCCTATAACCACTCAGAATCATTCCTGTAAAGGCTCTCCAATAATTCATCATTTTATGCAGTGTAGTACATGGAATACAGAAAAGGAGTTTGTGTGATCTTAACACCGATTTAAAAATAATGATTTAGCTGTCTGTAAAATATTTGCGAGAATTAATGTTTATCTTGATAGTACTATACAGTAGTACTATTTTATAAATTGAAAATTAAGAAATATCTTCAGTTGTAACATTTGTCATAATTTTATTAATCATATATATTTAAAAATCCAACTTTACTTGGTGGGCCAGTGGGTCCTGGCTCCTGGTTTTGTGCAGTTAGTACGTTGTTATGGACGACCATAAAGCTTTAAATCACAAGGAAGAATTTATATTTTCAAAGAACCGTATAGTGTAGACTGGATAACCGTCTCTCAATGACGTCAGGCTGGTTCCCACGTCATTGTGCTATTCTGACTTCAATATAGAGTTCTGCGCACATTACCAATGTAAACAAAAACATGATCTGGCGTTGAAGTATGCATTAAAGATGTCAACACCAATTAAATGCAGCAGTTTATGTTTATCTTGTGGCTTAGAGTCGAAACTATGCAATTTTTTCTAAATAATGGAATTTAACAGTACAATAATCAATATTTTGATTATCAAATCAAAAATGAGTGATTTACCCTAGCCGGTTAGCATACGATTGTATCTGATTATAAGAGCTGATTTTGAACTGTCGCTTTGTTTGGGTTTAAGATAACAATAAGAGGTGGCATGATCAATGTTTAATTTGATAGGTAGAAATGGGCGATTCTTCCAGTTGGCTAGAGCAATCTTCAACATTAAAGAAAAGCATAACAGATCTTAGGGATGCCCGGCTATTTTTAGTAACACTATGTCAAACTATGGCTGCCCACTACCTATCTCTATATGCAAGTCAGAAAAGGAGTGACATAGGAGCGAGTCTGACGTATTCGTGCAGGTTATCCAGTCAACCGAATAGTGCTGCTGCTGCTACTGTTTTATCGTTTGGTAGAGCCATTTAACATCCCACCACCAGCATCCTCTCTCGACATTATATTCAGATTAGATGTATTTGGAGAAATGTTTTTTGACAATTGGTATTTGGAAATTTATTGTTGGAGATTTGTTTTTAGTTGTATGTGTCTGATGTAAATGTAATTTTTTGATTTTCTAAAAAAAATTTTATCATTATATTAAAATACAATTAAATTAAACAAAGATACAATTTAAAAATCTAATATAAGAAATGTCTGATTGTGAAATAGATATTGATTTTAAGATACAAATTTTAATTTTAGTATACAAATGTCGAAATACGACAACATAAGAATTAAGGACTATTAAGAGCTAAGAATTAATAACACTGAATAAAGAGCTGTTTGGTTATCCATACATTGTACAGGTTAATTATTCCAAAACAACAATTTAGTAGGGTTTTGTTGGCATTACATTTCATTCAATGATGATTATTTTAAAGATATACATTTGTTACTGGTAATTTATTATACTTTTTTAATACAGATATTGTAGCCTATCGTTTGTTATGCAAAGATTTATTCATTTTGAAAGTAGTGCTTTGCATTGTCTTTGTCAAACAGTTTTATTAATGAGTTAATGTATTTTGATGGTTAGTACTAAAGAAGAAGAGCTAACATCGATATTACAACCCTTTTCGATATATAATATATTTTGAGTAATAACTCTTCTAATGCATATTATTTTGTTAATGTATTTTTTAAATCTTATTTAATTTTGTATGGTGATTTTTTGAAAACAAACTGAGGGAAAATTGCATTTAAAAAATAAATCCAATTATATTAAAAACAAAGTTGTTTATATGATGTGATTCTTTATAATTTCTGCAGATCAGAATATGGGAAATAGAATTTTTACTGAAAACAAATTCTCCAGTGAAATTAGTATACACATTTTAAGTCAATGAGATGATAACTTTGGACTCTAGCTTGACAAAAGCGATCAAGACTTATAACTGGCTGTAATTATCGGTAATTGATGAAAAACAAGTCCCTGTTGTCTCATGACCTTAAACACTGTGTAATGTGTATCAATTGAAAGTCAATTGAATGATATCTTTAGCCTCTATAATCCAGAGGGTTAGATGGGGGCCGAATGGTTAGCAAGTGCGCGCTGTATCATGAGTTCTGTCATTGAGTCAGCTGGCGTGGTTTCGATTCCCTGGTTGAATGGGACAAGGAGTAGGATCGCCTGCCCAACCTCGTGGTTTTTATCCAGGTCCTCTGATTTCCTCCCACTGCTAAAGACCCCTACGCGTAAGCGAATTATTGAAATAAAATTGTACCATGTATTATTCCCGAAATTACCTAGTTTGTATTGAGTGGACGTTAATCCCCATTTCTCTCTCTCTCTAAACCATCCACAATATTTTTAAAAGTGATCAAGGGCTATAACTCTGGCAGTATATACCGGAAATTACTGAAAATCATATTGCTTCACCATCTTGTGGACTAAACTAAAGTAGCTAAGTCTGTAACTCAGTATCATCCAAAGTTTTTGACATTGAAAACACAAATTATTTGTCAATTTAAATCAACATTGATGTTGTGATCTTACCGGGAAAAGATGGGCTTCTGATATCCAATATTTAAGACAAAATAATCATTTTACATTGGTACATGAATTGTGTACCATAATGCGTTTCAGTGCCATTTGTAACAAAGGATTCGAAGAACAAGGCTAGACATAGTCCACAAGTCATGTCAAACAGTGACGCCATAATCTTATCTGGAGATCATGCACAATAAATACTACCGGTGTAAACTGGAATAACCAGGCGCTAGAGATTGCCATTCGATAAATTTGCCGAATATAACTTGTTAGAAATTACAGTAAAAACAGAAACTACTGAATGTAAATCAGTTTATGTACATTTGTGTTGATTTCTAAGTCCAGAATTTTAGCGATTTAGCTCCTTTAAAGTCCACCAGATGATAACTGAATTTTCAACAAAGCTTTGATCTGTGCAATAATTTGATCAGATTTATCATAAATCTGACGCTGCGTGCTGATATTCTCTTTTATACCCCATAGAATATTTAAAAAATGGTGGTGGTCAAAATCAAACTTTGAAAGCCTTCTTCTAGTAGCGACTGAAGAATATTTACTTTAGATTAGTTTGAGTCTAGATAATTAAGATATGCCATGAAATAAACATGGACTTTGTTGTGAAAATAATTAGTAGCCTAACTCCGTGTTTCTTCTCGAAAGTTATTTCCCTTTACCAAATATTCCAAGATGGCAGCCCCCAGGTACAGATTGTTCATGAGACTTTGTAGTGAATGGAAACTTGATGAAACCAAAGTCGGTAGAGATTTAGGATTTATCATTCGTGAGAGCGTAGCTAGGGGTTTTAAAAATGGTGAAGCATCGGTGATTGATGAAGAAAAGTGTGAAAGATCTTATAATGCCCTTCAAAAATTGAACTCAAATTATTACAAGGAGAAATATCCCTACACTCGGGAAAGTGCATCATCGGGGTGTACATTTGATGTTCTACAACAGTTTGTTGCTACAGAAACAATGGAACATCTTCAATACCAAGAATTGAGTATGTTCAAAAAGATTAAAACTTATGTAAAAGGTGACAAAGGGAAATAACTCCATTAATGGGCTGTGATCGACATCTACGTACAGTGCTGGTGTAGTAACAGTGATAATTATGCTGGAATTTGTGGTCAGGTGACTATGTATGTTATGTGTGACATTGGACTACAATTTAATTCTCTAGAATCTTAAAAAGCGAAGTTATTTATTTACTTTGGATGTAAAGGGAAGCAACTCTATTTAGTTTTTCAACACACTACTGGCCTACTGACTGTTCATTTCTGTTCATAAAGGTGCCACCAACTCAAGTAAAACTATTATGAGAGGATAAAATATGAAAATGCCAGATGAAAAAGAAGGTCGAGTTGCATAATTAATTATGAATCAAGAAGTAACGAAAAACAATCTATAGATTACATGTAAATAGCTAATATAAATTGATTCTTTTGAGTTGACAATCTTCCCCACTATTATTGTTGTCCAGTTTATACAGTAAATATGATCATCTTGAGAACTAAATAACACTGACCAATTTTACTTTGTGATGAGATGCATGTGTGCAGGGGTCAAGCTGTAATGAAAGCACCACATCTAACTGGTGTCAAGTGACCTCACACCACGAGTACGACTAAATCCCCTTATAAAATATATCTTACGGTATGCTGATAATCATTATGTTAAAAAAGATCAATGTTTTTATCCTCTCAAATTTATTTAGAGTATTTGTCTTTATTTCATAAACAATTACTGTGTATATACACAGATATACTGATATGTTCACCGATAAAAATTTACCCAAAATACAGATCTATATTTCGTTTTTTTGTTTTTTTTATACTTTCAATGGCCTAAACTACATGAAGATCTGACCAGTTCTAGTGAAAGTTTGCGTCGGGGGTCTTACCAACATCTTTTGACCCTGTGACATCAGACATTGATTAATCAATCAGCGTTGACGTTTCTAGTGGTTTACCCACAGTTCCATGCATCGCACGCCAAGAAGTCGCTGTAACAGTCTGTTTGGCTAATCTTTTACTTCAACCAGAATGCGTGTTATATAACAACTCTTCCAGATCCTAGTGTTGTGAAGACAAGTAAAACAACATTTTAAACTATAAAAAACGAAACAAAAAGGATCTTGTGTTTTAATCATATTGAGCTCTAGCATTCTTGACGACAATTTGTAATCAAGGTTAAGCTCGAGACCGCAGATGTAATTAGAGGTTTACTCAAGCTCTGTACTTAATTTCGTTTCGGTAAGTTACTCCACTGTTTTGTTTGGATTCGGTTGATGAGGGTGAAATAATACATCTTTGACAACGAAATACGCTGTTTTCCATTCTCAATCTCTTTTTTCCAATTTTCACGCGAAATGGAAAAAGAACAAAAAAAGAATAGTTTTGAGAACGGTTCGAAAAGCAGTATTAATTTACGATTGTATTTAGCATTCTAATAAACAACATCTGTTTTTCTTTATTAACATAGGAAAGCATTTTGGTTATAAATAGCTGCAGCGGAGCGCTTTTTATTTACTGGTATAAAGTGATGACGTCATGAAGATAAAATGTTTTGGTTAACAGTAAAACACTCGTAGTTCAAATATTGTCACTGTAAAAAAAAAAAAAAGAAGCTCTCTATACTGCTCTTTATGCTAGAAATACGTACCGATTTTATCCACTCTCGCAGCATGTTTCTGTTAACAATGAAATACACCGTTTTCAATTCTCGATCCCTTTATTCTCCTACCTCTGATATTTCGGACTGTTGTAAAAAGGTTTCATACAAAAGAATACCGATTAGACTCTGTATAGAAGAAGTTTAAAAAAAAAATTTAGGTGGACTTTTCGGGAAACAGGCGTCTAAACTTGCTCGAAATCGTAAAAAAACATACTTTTCAAAGTCACATAACTTTTTGAGTTTGTAATATAAACTTGTCACTTCAGTACCATCTGATAAACAATGCAATTCGCTATTAAACGATATAAAACTTTAACTACTCAGTAAACAACCAATTTATACAATGCATTTTGCGCACAGACACCCATTTTTCTTGGATACTTTTCTTGAGTACTTCCGGTCAATAGAGAATTTCAAAAATACTTTTATGCACTACTTCAGATATTCCTCTTTATGCTCCTGAAGGTTCAAAAAGATCGAAGTAGTCGTTATAAAGTAGTACAAACTGTACGATTTGACTAAACTGTGGGAAAAAAAAAAGGGAAAAATCAAAATTAGCAGTTCAGAATGTTAATTCAGATTGATGTCAGCTATCCAAAAATGTAAAAAGAATTTAAAAATTCCAAGAAATAAGAATTTTAGAAAATTTTCTAATTTTCACCAAAAAATGAATAGTACAAAGTTTCTAAATTTGACGTTTTTTAACTGCTATCTGCTCAGCAATGTCTCCTGCTATCCAAAAATATAACAGAATTAACAGAATTATGGCCGAGATCTCTATCTCTTATAGTTGCAGAGATATATTAAAATTTTAGGATAAATATCAATAAAAAATGAGAAAAACAAAAATTAAATGTACATTCTTTTTGAAAGCTTTAAATTTATTATACTATGTACATGTATATAACATTAGGCATATTTTAAAGGTTACCAACCTTTTCATAAATTATTATTCCTGTAATTAATTTTTTTTATTTTGTAAAATAAATGTAACTTATCTTGAAAGTGCATAGTTGATTTAAATTTATGACCTGTTATAGATTGGTTCACCAGAAATGAAGCCCTGCCAAACCCACAACTATGCAAAGTGGCAAACCTTATGAAAACAAATTAACAGCATGTACTGTAATGATTATAGATCATCTGAACTTGTTTTAAATATACATTTTTCATGTTCATTATTATGATGACCTAACAGAAATTTCAAATCACCTGACACCATTTCTCATGTGACAAGTTCACAAAGCTAACACGCCTTTGTAGTATTGTTGTACACAAGTATAATAATACAAGATAAATGCAGACAAAAAATTAATTAAGTTCACTAAGGCTTTTAGCCATTTAACACATTTAGATCATTGCATTTTCAAAAAGAAAATGAAAAGATAGGTTGCCAGGCAACCAAACATACGCCCACAACAGCTAAGTTGTCCGGGCAGTCAACAAGTGTTGTCGCATATTTTTTCTTTTGTCAGTAATGTGAGCATTTACAACACATGAAATCTGATTACGATTAATAACCCATGAAGTAGTTATCAGAAAACTTTAGAATTTGTTTCGATTGTTTGTCTCATGACCTTAAACAATTTATATTAACTTTAGCCTCTAGAGCATCCACAAGATTTTTCAAAGTGATCAAGGGCCTTAACTCTGGCAATAATTATCGGAACTCGTTGAAAATGATTAATATTCTTTGTCTCATGACCTTAAACACTGTGTATAAGTTTAAAGTCAATCAGATATTAACTTTAGCCTCGGACGGACGGGGGCGACGACAATATATGACCACATTTCAATGTGGGCATATAAAAAATGATACAAATAATGCTATCATGATACTGTTCTAATATGATTGGTTTATAGATGTCTTTCTTCGAAGACTGAGCTGAAACAGATTTTTGACAGAATAGTCCATTATAATTGACATCTGAAATATGTCACTTACGGATATGACCTGTTGAATCAAGCACAAACATCAGACCACTCAGCCACCCAACCCTCACAATAACAATGAAGGCTTGTCTTCTGTCAGTGATACAAAATTAACCCAGAGCATAATTTTGACTAAATCTTTACGTTAAACCCCACCACTCTGCAAAAGGTACTTGATTGTATTTAGTATAATATAATGAGAACTACCAAATGAAAATAAAACAGAGCAAAGTATTAACGACATACATGTTAGCCTATATAAGGACTGTACGGTACTTCATTTAACTAAGGTGTAACAACATTATATAATTATAATTATATTACATTGTATATAATATTTACTACTCATTTGAGTGCTGTTAGAATTAACAAGATTAGTTTTAATTAAATATGGATGGAATTTTTGAGTTTTTTTTATTACTCTTAATCGTAAATTTTAACTATAGTAATACTTTTGGAGTGCAGGCTCTACCACCTATTGCACCATCTTTTCTTGTTAATTAAGTTTCCATTACAATCGGATGTTCTTCCCCCTAAATAAAGTTCTTCTTCTTCTTCAGTGGTCTTATTATTAAAGATACATTATGTAAGATTTAGATAACGAGCTTGATGTTCTTACTAGAATAGTTCAAAAATAGATAATGAACAAAAATGAATATATTGAAAATTTCATTCCAATTACTTTAGTTTGAACAATGTTCAGAAATTAAAACGTTAAACCCATTGTCTTTATTTCATTGTGTGCGTGTTAAATAGCTTTATTTTACATCCGCTTCCACCGAAGTGATATTGCAGACAATTACATGTTATATATACAAAATGAAATGAAATGAAATGGGGTTTAACGTCCTACTGTTCTGCTCCTATACTGGGCTAATGAAGACGGGCATACGCCATACAGTGTGCTAAGAGGGAAATTTTGCCCGGACAGCGGCACTATCACCTACTCTTATATCGAATTCCAACTGCCAGGGGATCTTTTACGTGCATTCCAATATATACACGGGAACTCGGTTTTTCGTCTCATCCGAAAGGACTAGACAGCTGTCCTTGTCAGGCCCTCCATTCTGCACCACTGACAAAGGGAAACCACGTCGGAAAATCTCGATCAACTTTCTCGGCCAATGCAGGGATCGAACACCCGACCTCCAGGCTGGCGAGCCAGCGTCTTAACCAACTAGCCACTGTGGCTCCCATTATATATACAAAGTGTATTATTTAAAAGGTGATTAGCGAAAAGAATTGAAAGGATTAAAAAATATTTATATATATGTACAGAACAAATAATGACGAGACGATAACAGTTATATAACAAGTGTTACAAAAAATGTGCAAATAGAGACAAACATACACATTTTACAGTCAGACACACATTGCACTGTACAACACGAACATTTGACAAAACAAAAATGGATAGAGACGAACATTTAAACAAATAAACATTGAATGTACATATATATTTATATAAGTCATTTGTGTCGGTCTGAACGTTTTGTCTGGTTAAATGGCAGGGCGTTACAACACTTTTTTGTGGGGTCTGGTCCATTCTTTCTTCCATTTGATCTTCCTGTCTGCTATATATTTCTGAAAACATTCACCACCGCTCATCAAAATCGTGTAATAAATCTACCCGCGGTATTTTCTCAAGATGTTCCAAAAGTTCGGAAACTTTATAGTCAGCAAAATCCTTGTGCATTATGAGTTCCTGAAATGGATCTAGTCTCTGCCATGTACACTTCTGACTATGAATTCTAATTTTTCCGTGATGCCAACCCTTATAATTGGCAATACATTCCCAGCTTTTGGTGTTACAGCCGAACGATAGCTGGTCATTTAGATAATCTATAGAGTCTTTGGATAACTCTTTAACTCTGGTATTTTTTCTTCTGTTTTCTGTGAAGAGGAAAATGTCTTAAATTAATGAAATATTTGTTATTTCTTTTGTCAGTCTAACTGAAATTATGCCAACATTTTATTCCATTTTTATTTTTTGGTTCTTTACTCCACTTCATGGGGGGGGGGGGGATGTGGATGACCGAATGGTTAGCACGTGCGCGCTGTATCATAAGGTCTGTCAATGAATCAACTGGCGTGGTTTTGATTCCCCGGTTGCATGTGGTACGTGACAAGGAGTAGGGTCGTCTGTCCAACCTTCGGTCCTCTTGTTTTCTCCCACTGCTAAAGACCCCAACGCACAAGCGAATTATTGAAATAAAATTGAACCATGTGTTATTCCCAAAATGACCTAACCGCACCTCTCTCTCTACTCCACTTCATCTTGGTTTATAAAAACATTTCTTTATTAACAGGTTTGTTCAGTAAAGTGAAGATGGTGATTTACTCAAGGTCAATGGTATTATTGTGCCTTTTTTAAAACATGTCTGGTCTGAATGTCTAGTTGAAAGTAGTAACACACATGCATTAAAGGGGGACTAAATTTCATATCTTGTGGAATTTGTGTGATGAAAATCGCCACGGAATGTAGTACTACACAGAGAGTTTCAATTTTAAGAAAATATCTTGTAGACCAAACATTTTCCTGAAAATTAGTCAAGTCGATAGATCTTGTGAAATGCTGTATCACACAGGCGTGGGTATTGTTGTGCCGTAGATGGGTCCCAGATGCATCTTTCACAAATTACATATTAAATATATTGGAAAACAAGTTCACATTCGGTTGAACTTCCAACAAAAAATATAACTATTATAGTCTTCTGCATGTCAACAGAAGTTCAAGGAATTTGTATTTTGTCTTATGTCTAATATGTTAAGATATATAACAAAATTTTAATAAAACAATATTTGGAAACTATTAGTTTAACGGCTTGTGTGCCAGAATATACATGTATAATGGTCTAAAGTAGAGATATGATAGCTATATGTATACCTCAGAGTTTTGACCGGGTTGAGCTATGAGAACAAGGTGTTTTAATCAAGTTTTGATCACAAAACCTGACATCCAAAAAATTGTGAAATAGCAGTTTTATACTTAGTCTGATTGTAGACTTAGAATGCATGTCCAGATGAGTCCAATCTATGTTAGCTGTGGCTATCCCATGGCAATAACCAGGCCTGGTTATCAAAATAGTTCCCATATGTTTATTTATTTTAAACGACATACGGGGAGTTTAGAGTTCAGAGCTTATGTATACTTCTAGCTGACTTTCTGTTCACTCGTAATTATGTTAGTAGTGACTCTGGTGAAACAGAATTGCTCTGGTCCACCCCAGACTTCTACTGTACCCAGTCAACAACGACTAAGCCCAAAGAGTTTGCATAAGAACTGAATATAACAGGTTCATGAGAGAAATCTGGGATGGCTACCCAACACTTATAGAGTTCCAATTTTATTTTTGGTTTGACTTCGTTATTCCCGGTTTTGACCAAATGTTTCTGCTGTTTTCCTGGCCAAAAGCAAACCCAGTTGTAAAGACACCTGTGTACAACTCATCAATCCTTTACATTATATCCAGTTAACTTACCAGGTGCTGCTTGTGAAATATTGACTCGATTAGATGTGGCTCCATGAAGGCTGGTGTTCAAATTGTTGTCTGAAGAGAGAAGTAAATTTTGCTCCTATTTAATTCACCCTTCAATCAAAGTGAAAATCACACTTTAAGATACATTATGTAAGATTTAGATAAAGATCTGGCCATTCTTGCTATAATAGTTTAAAAATAGATAATGCAAAATGGATTTATTGAAAATTACTTTATTCTGAGCAAAGTTTTCAATATTTGAAGTTTTGACAAGATGTGGCATAGATTGTTTATCATAGCAATGGTACTTGTTAATCAAGACTTAGCCTTGATTCATCATTTTTAAATTAAATCATCAAATGGTGATTGTGTTTCAATCTGTTCCAATCTTCACCATCTGATGGTCTAAAGAGATGATTATGGGCTGTCATGTGAATAAATATCTAATTATTTAACCTGACCTGGTTATGAAAATAGCTCCCATATGTTTATTTATTTTAAGTGACATACAATAGGGAAGGGAGTTTAGAGCCTATGCAAATCTCAAGCCGACTTCATGTTCACACATAATTATGGAAGCAGCAACTCCGGTGAAACAATTGCTCCGATCCACCCCAGACTTCTACTGTACCCAATCATTATCAACAACGACTAAGCCCAAAGAGTTTGCATAAGAACTGAATATAGAGTTCCAGTTTTATTTTCGGTTTGACTTAGTTATTTGGTTTAGCCCTTCCTGAGCTAGTCCCGATGTCTATGACGTCACGCCTATATTGAATTCGGGTAGTGACTATACTATTAGTAGGGTGACCCATGTACTCACAGAAATACAGTCCACCGCTGATAGTTCGAGACTACCACTGAAGCGTGCACATTCGCCGTGCCGAGACCAACTTTCTGACAGTATGATACTATAAATAGCCATGGCACGTGCAATTCTCTACAAATCTATCAACTATTACAGCCGTAAAAAATTTATTGTTGACGATTTTGAACAGCAGTAAAATTAAGCTTCTTGGTTATTACAGCAGATTTAGAAATTACGTTCGTTTCATTTTTTAAATCGCTTTATCATTAACTGTACCGTTAAGAGCGGCATCTTTTGGTTTAGTACAAATAATATCTCTGAATCACTCGGGTTAGACAGGAACAGGATACTAGCAATAGTTTCATTTGACTTTTACAAGCTTCTTAAAACGATTGTTGAGCTACCTAACGTGCTTATTTCTAAATTCAATTTCTTGTTCTAGCTTTCTGTTATGTTTCGTAAAAAAGTAGTCTTGATTATCCCGACCTGTCAATCAGACGTAGAAATGGTCGATAGACTGGTTAAGCGAGACTAATTTCAAAACAAGGGCACGTAACCTATCTTTTACTCAAAAGTGTCTGGATGTTATGGACGACTCTTGGAACCAGTTTTCAGTCTATTATTTATACATGATTAATGGTCATAGCTTATTAAGTACAACATGATCGTTTATTTAGTGACTATAATTGTGTGAAACTGATTTGAGGCTTGGCATATATACTATTCAAAAAAAGTAGGGGATATTTGATTTTTAAGTGTTATTAAAGTCACCTAATGAAACTGACGAAGAAACAAATGACAAAATGAAATGAAGTTCACATTCATCGATTTATTCCAAATGATCGTTAGACTAAGTAAGGCACAGACTGACCATTATAAGGGTAAAATGATACCCGGGGTCAAACAGCAAAGTTACCACAGCATCACAACCAAGTCAGTAACGGGTAAATCCTCCTCTGTTTGCCAAACAAGCATTGATCCGACGTGGCATACTCCTAATGAGACGTCTAAGGTCATTTTGGTCCAGATTGTCCCATTCCTGTTGCAACGCAGCAGCAAGTTCTTGAACATTGGCAGGACGTTGTTGACGTTGACGTAACCTCTGTCCAAGCATGTCCCAGACATGCTCGATGGGGGAGAGGTCGGGACTCAGTGCTGGCCAAGGTAATGTGGTGATGTTCTGTTGTTGGAGGTAACCTGTAACGATCCTGGCCCTGTGACATCTTGTGTTGTCATCCTGGAAGATGAAACGGCGGCCATGACGTCGTGCGAACGGCACAACATGGACTGCCAAGATGTTGTCCCGGTAGTACTGGCCTGTAACACGCCCTGCAACAACATGTAAAGCCGTTCTTCCAGCAACAGTGATGCCTCCCCACACCATAACAGAACCACCCCCAAATCGATCATGTCTGATGACGTTAACGTCTTGGAAGCGCTCGTTTCGACGACGCCACACCCTCCTACGTCTGTCCAAAAAATCAACAGTGAACCTTGACTCATCTGAAAACATCACATTGCTCCAGCGTCGATTATCCCAGTGTTGACGATCCCTACACCAACGACGTCTTGCCTGAATGTGATGATCTCTCAAACAAGGGATCACGCGAGGACGTCGGGCGCGAAGGTGACCCCTATGCAGTCGATTCCGAATCGTCTGGCCACTCACTCTCACACCAGTGTCTGTTTGAAGACGAGCGCTGATCTTATTTGCTGTGATGACACGATTTCTCAAGGCCAAGGTACGGATAAATCGATCCTGGGCTTGAGTAGTCGCCCTTGGTCGACCTGAGCGTGGTCTGTCCTGTACAGATTGTGTATCACGGAATCTGGACCATAGCCTGCTTATGACAGACTGAGAAACATTCATTGTCCGCGCCACAACCGCCTGTGTTGTGCCGATCTGTAGCATGCCAAGGGCACGTAACCTTTCATTTTGGGTAAGCCGACGCATATCAAAATTTGTTTTCTGGTCACTAAAACAATTAAACTGATGTTTCCACCCTGGAATTCAATGCCACAATGACTGTAACATTCAAAGTCAGAGTCGTGCAAATCTTGGGTTGGACCCCCATGATGATCCCAAGCATCACCTGCATTCCATGCGGTAGCTATTGGTGCGTTTGGGCGTCACATGTAACTGGAAATGTTTCTTCTGTTTGGTTCTATAGTGACTTTTTTCGTAGTCATTTGCATATTTTAGTATTATGCCACCAAAATCAAATATCCCCTACTTTTTTTGAATAGTATATATAAATATTGTGGCGTAATTGTCGAGATATATGGAGATATTTATTTATGGTGGGTCACCCTACTATTAGTGGGGATTCTTCTTGTGATGAAAATTCAGATGTTTGTCACAAAGTAAAGACACAAAAAAGGGAGACTTCTCCGGAGGAAATTATTCGTCTGCTTTTATACAGTCGCGCACGTAGATCGCTACCAATATAGACGTATACGATATGGTCAAATTGGTTACCATGGCAACCCTAATGTGAATATTTCGGTATATATTATTGTTATTTTCCAAATATTTAATTTATTTTTATTTTATTGTTAATAAAAACTTGTTACTGATGATTTTTATATGTGTGTTGCCTACCGCAAAATTGTCAATACTGCTCGTTTACATTTTATTATTTTTAGAAAAAAACATTATTATCACAATTTAGTGACTTTTCCCCCAAAAACCTATACTATTCTTACCAAAGAGATATCTATCATGTTAATAATCAATATAGCTTTATTCCTGACCATCTTGAATTTTTTAATGACAAGAAAATATCCAATATTTCATTTATGACAATAATATGGCAGCCATTTTGAAACACACTGGTAACCATAGTAACCATAAAATCTAAACTAAACATATGCAAAAATCCCAAGTCATATATAATGGATATACATTTGCAATTTTACAGTTGTAGTCGCATTCATATTCAAGGTATGCATGGTTTTTCACAACAGGGTCTAAAGCTTGATTTTTACTCAATATTTGCATAGCCCTCTATGGGTATGAAGTGGTTAGCTCAGGAAGGGCAAAGTTTTCAATATTTGAAGGTTTGACAAGATGTGGCATAGATTGTTTATTATCATAGCAATGGTACTTGTTAATCAAGACTTAGCCTTGATTCATCATTTTTAAATTAAATCATCAAATGGTGATTATGTTTCAATCTGTTCCAATCTTCACCATCTGATGGTCTAAAGAGATGATTATGGGCTGTCATGTGAATAAATATCTAAATATTTAACCTGACCTGGTTATGAAAATAGCTCCCATATGTTTATTTATTTTAAGTGACATACAATAGGGAAGGGAGTTTAGAGCCTATGCAAATCTCAAGCCAGTTTTATTTTCGGTTTGACTTAGTTATTTGGTTTAGACCAACCAAAAGCAAACCCAGTTCTAAAGACCCCCGCAACTCACAAGCCTTTATATTATATCCATTTAACTTACCAGGTGATACTTGATTTTCTGAAATATCGACTCGATCAGGTGTGACTCCATCAAGACTTGCATTCAAATTGTTTTCTGAAGAGAGAAGTAATTTTTGTGCCCAATTAATTCACCCTTCAATTAAAAAGAAAATCACACTTTGAGATGCATTATGTAAGATTTAGATAAAGAGTTGTCCATTCTTGCTATAATAGTTTAAAAATAGATAATGCAATGTGAAAGTATTGAAAATTTCATTCAAATTACTTCATTCTGAGCGAAGTTTCGCCAAGATGTGACATAGATTGTTTATTATCGTAGCAATGGTACATGTTAATCGAGACTCAGACTCGATTCACCATTTTTAAATTAAATCATCAAATGGCGATTGGGTTTAAATCTCCAACATCCGATGGACTGTAGTGTTTATTGTGAGCTCATCATGTCAATGAATCTGAATACATGAATAATAGGTTATATAACATTAAAAGCTGAAATAAACACCTGCAATAGGCAGATTTAGCTCTTAGTCTTACATGTACATAATGCATCTTTAACTTTAAAGCAAACCATTCATTTGCTGCTGGAGATATTTACTCAGATTACAAAAATGCCTGTAAATCTGAATTGAGTCTTCTATAAAGTTCTAAACAGTATATTGTTTTCTTTCTTGTAAAATCTTTTTTTTTTATGAGGCTTCATCAACCAGACAATGCACTAATCGCTTTGTTTTATAAGACAGACAATAAACTCATTGGTTGTTGGTGGTCATTTGAACCATTTGAAATAGAAAGCTTGTGCAATACACATGACTTCACTCAACCATCCCCTGAAGTCATTTGTAACGCCCTTGCTGTCCATTTCAGGGGTTTCACACCTCAAGCTCGTACATTATTGTAGAAATACTCACCACTGTTTGTTGTTGTGATAGGTAGTGTATTGGGTAATATTTTTTTGTCACACATTTCTAGTTTAGTTTTTGTAGCAACTGTTTTATTAACATCTTTAACAGGCGTGGCTAGACATTTTACTTTTGTTTCATCATCTAAATAGTAAGCACTTCCATTTTTATCAGCTCCTGGTCTTGTGTAAGGCATGGCTAGATGTTCTGTTTTTGTTAAATCATCTGAATTATATGAACTTCCATTTCTATCAGCTTCTGATCTTGTGCCACTGTTATGATCAGAAATGATAGTATCATCAATATTTTTTGGCATGACATTTTCAGATCCATTAATGTTGCGCATGGTGGGTCCATCATATTGAGGATTCTGTCCAGTATTTGTAATCTTACCTTTATTTAAATCTACACTATTAGTTTGCAGAGGAAGGGCTTCATCTAATATAGCTTCAGCACCTAAAATAAAAGCCACAAAGAAAATGATTAATTATAGTCAATTTGCATTATAGGCTATAAACTAATAGTATTTTTGCGATATAAAGACTTAACGTAGTGATCTAAATTCTCTGCAAATTTTTTTTACTAAGTCCTAATAAGTTGTTGTAAGGATAGGCTACTGCCTTTGTGTTAGAACTTTTAGGATTTTAACAGTGGTCCATTGCAAGTGCCGAAACCACTGTCTATACCACTATCTATACATAATGTAATTTAAATTTCCGTTTGACATTGCTATTACGTTTTGTAAACTGAGAAAATGTCTCCAGCAGCACAGGAATGTTTGCTTTAAAGTCAAGTGTGATTTTCATTTCGATTGAAAAAGGGTGAATTAATTAGGCATACAAAGCTAGCAATAAAAATGTTGCGAATCGAATAGTGACACCAGGCCACTGGTCACAGGGTAATAATATTCATATGCTCGAATATCAATTCGATCATAAATGAAATGCGGTTTAACTTACTGCTTTTCTGCACCAGCTGGCCGGGCTATTGTAGACAGGCATTTGCCATGCAGTGTGCTATGAGGGAAGTTTAGCCCGGACAGTGGCACTATATAGTCCACCCGTATTTCAAATTCGCAATCTCAAAGGTTCTTTTCAAACAATCTGAATGACTAGATGATGTTCCCTGTCACCCTCTGTCCTGCAACACTGACAAGGAGTAACAAGCTCGATAATTCAGAACATTTTTCTCAGCCAACACTGTGAACAAACCCCCGAGAGCATCTTACTCACCGAACCATGCACCGCAGCTCACCTGTTCGATTACATTTTCATGTGAGAAAAACTCCCAATAATAGAAACGGGTACCAGAAACCAATTACAGATGATATGATGGTATCAATTTTAACTACATCAAAATGACCCATTTAAACTTAATATAAGTTGATATACAATAATAATAGAATATGATATCGAAATACCATCGTTTGATCCAACGTTTCGTCAGTAAAATACTAACTTCTTCAGTTAGAGGATGGACCCTAACGATATTCACTGTTCCATAACCTTCTGTTTGTGAGTTAACCCCCTTTTCTGAAAACAATTTGAATGCAATGCCACAGTTTTTAACAGATGGATGTAGGACAGTAAAATCAATAGGGCTCATCGAATTAAAAACAAAATCTGATTATAAGCGATCTTGTCAGTCAACATATATTAGATTCAAATGGACATAATCCTGTGGCTGTAGTATATATTTACATAAATTTTGATCAAATTTTTAGCCATTTAGTCAGTTTTGACCAGAGTTAATTTTCACTGTTTTGATTTATCACCTTCTGCAGAACATGCTGAATTCATCCTATCTTTGTAAACATTATTGGACCATATATTTGCGATATTCCATTTTATAGATTCAACATTTTTTTTATTGTGTAGTTTGAAAGGTATTCTAAATACATCAAAGGATGGTCAATGGATGACCATATTCACATATTTACTAATTGTAGCCAATATTAATATTAACTTATGTCTATTTATTGACATACATATATTTTTTTAAATCTCTACAATAACTTACCATTACAAGCTACCTGATTACCGTTGGACCTACTGATATCATTGTTTAAAATATGCCCCAAATAAATTTCTGACATTCCTGTTTCTTCTGCCATTTCTACCGTCTCTTTGGTAAGCACTGTTCTTTTTTATGGTTGGTTGTTTAACAACAAAGCGCAATCATCGTCACCATTTTGTTGCTATTTATAGAAAGGGAAAATCCATATAGTAAAGGGGATTTCCCTTTAGTCTGCAGCCACGCTAAACTATAGAAAAGGTCAATATTTGTACAAATGAAACACGGGATGATATTTATCCATGTTGAGAAAAGTATTATATTTCTGTTTTTTAATAAATTGTTAATCTCGGCGAAATAACTTCGATTAACTGCAAAGTTATTCCCCTTAATTTGTTGTTTGAAACAATCAGGCGGCGCTGTTTTCCAAGATGTCAGCCTTCATGGACTAAAAGTTAATAGGTCGTCGAGAAAATCTTATGTAACTCCATGTAGTTAATTTAGTTATTGACACCTTCTTAACGATCGGTCGTTTAAGTTTCGGGTCTACAATACTGTTTTAAAATCCACAGAAGAGGTAACCTTTACAGGACATTTACCGGTTTCTTGGCTAAATTGTAAATGAAAAAAAGGATACGATCATATACGGTACCGGTACCAACTTATTTATAATTTTAATTGGAACTATCAAAAACTAGAGAGACTAGACAGAACCTGCGTTTCATAGACTATGACAGTGCAATTATTTAGAACAATGTAATGGACCTTAATGTCCCACTTTTCTGCTCCACTTTTCTGCAGTGACTTCATGGGCTAGTGAAGAAGGCTCAAGGCAATTATTTAGTACTTTAAAACAGCGTGTTGTGTCGCTCATACTGGTGTAAGCAAGGTCTTATTTTCTCACTAAGATGTTCAGTTACATTTGTCAGGCATTCTCAGGGAGTGACACCCGACCGTTTAGCAGTAAAAAGTTGCCCAGTAAAATTGACTGGGAAGCTAAACTTTTTTGCCAAGGATTCAATAACACAGTCAGTGAACGTACAGGGCAAGTGTCATGAGACCTCTTTCTTTCAGAGCTGAACTAAATTGAATGATGCAATATGTGCAGCTGAGAGCATTAATTGACTTAAAGGAGCTAAATCGCTGACATTTGGGACCTAGAAATTGACACAATTGGGTCGCAACGCATATAATACTGTAATATGAATTTATAAAACTGATTTACATTCAATGGTTTCCGTTTTTACTCTAATTTCAAATCAGTTATGTTCGGTGAAATATGCCAGCAGTCTCAATCGAATGCAAATTTCTAGCATCTGGTTATTCCATTCTACATAAGAATATGGCGTCGCCATTTGATTTGGTAAGATCACAGCATCAGTGTTGATTTAAATTGACAAATAATTCGTGTTTTCAATGTTAAAGATTTTGGATGATATTGAGTTAGAGACTTAGCCACTTTAAAGTAGCTGAGTCTCTAACTCAGTGTCGTCCAAAATCTTCGACATTGAAAACACGATTTATTTGTCGGTTTAAATCAACATTGATGTTGTGATCTTAATGAGAAAAGATGGCCTTCTGATATCCAATATTTAAGACAAAATAAACATTTTACAATTGGTACACGAATCGTGTACCATAATGCGTTTCAGCGCTATTTGTAATAAATGACTCGAAAAACGAGGCTAGGCATATTCCACAAGTCATATATCCAATGGTGACACTATATTCTTATCTGGAGAGCATGCCCAATAAATACTATCGGCGCAGACTGGAATAACCAGACGCTAGAGATTGAAATTCGATTGAGAATACTGGCGTATTTCTCCGAACCGAACTGATTAGAAATTACAGTAAAAACAGAAACGATTGAATTAATATACATTCATATTACATTATTTTATGCGTTGCGACCCATTTGTGTCCATTTCTAAGCCCCAAATATTAGCGACTTAGCTCCTTCAAGCATACATTATGCAAAAGCTAAATCTGCCTATTGCAGGTCTTTCTTTAAGCCTGAAATGTTATCTAAATTATTAATTAGACATTAATTAACTTATCTAGACCATAATGAACTCTCAATGTCATTGCTAGCCTGTAACATTTACTGGATTAGGATCCGATTTGCTGCTCAAATATCAGAAGCCCATCTTTTCACGGTAAGATTTAGTTAACAACATGAGTGTTGATTTAAATTGACCAATAAGTCATGCTTGCAATCTCAAAGACTGTTGATGATATTGAGTTAGTGACTTGCCTCCTGTTGAAATGTATGCAAAAGATAGAGGGTTACAACTTTAGTTATTTTGGCAGTTTATATATCATTTATCTTTTTTTTTCAGTTTCAATCCAGAAGTAATGACAACTATTTAAAACAGCATTGGAAATATGACTGATCCTGAACTGTATGAATAAAGATTATAGGCATTGATTGTGTTGTGTGAGAACATGTATGCTATTATTTGCAAGCAGCCATTGGCAAATATCCTTGGACGAAATGTGAATATTTTTTCACAAGGAAAATCAACTATCTTTAAGATGGGTTTTTTAAATCGTACATGTAAATATCATTCAAACATTGGATCGAACTTACGAATACAAGTAATCCCCTGTACTCGCTTTTCCTTTAGTTCAAGAAAATATTCCATGATTAGAGACTGTTTCAAGAAAGATTTAAAGAAATCACAACGTGTATACAAATCAACACAAACTGTCAACATCAATTTGCAACAAGCAACGTTAAATGCAAAATCTCAACCTCGGGATAAAAAAGATATCTTGAAATTAATTGGATTAGCAAAACCAGAAAAATGGAAGATAGTCGGTAATTAAATATTAAGCTTACTGTTCATATACATGTAGTACCTGTTTATCACTGGGTGTTTTTTCAGCTTATAAAGTCTGTCATTGACTCAACTGGCATGGTTTCGATTCCCTGGTTGTACGTGACAAGGAGTAGGGTCGTCTGTCCAACCTCTTGGGTTTTCTCCGGGTCCTCTGGTTTCCTTCCACTGCTAAAGACCCCTACAAGCAGGCGAATTATGGAAATAAAATTGAACCATATGTTAGTCCCGAAATGACCTAGTTTGTGTCGAGTGGAGTTAAACCACATATCTCTCTCTCTCTCTCTCTCTCTCTCTCTCTCTCTCTCTCTCTCTATCTTTTCAACTTAGATTCTATAGGTAATTATCAAACGACACTCAGTAATTAACACTTCTTGTATTCCATAGAATTGTATCCTCTGCAATTCCATTTTAATTACTAGATTTTTGAGTCATCAGTGTGGAGATGTGGTAGTTAAAAAGGATCATTTACTTGATAAACACTAGAGAATCCTTGTCAAGATGTTGCTTAGTAATAATCAGCAATTGTAAATCCACTATGCATAAGCGAATTCATGAAATACAATTGAACCATCTGTTAGTCCCAAAATGACCTATTTTGTGTTTAGTGGATAAGGTACTTGTAAATAGAACGTGAATCAAAAAGTGATTAAAGTGTGTGATAGATACATGCATGATAATCTTTTAAAAAATTTGTTGTTGTAAATCCATATTGTAAGTTCTGAATTCTTAATTTGCTTTTCATTGTTTCAGGAGCCGTTTGTCTTCTGTTAATTTCCAGTTCTGTTTCAATGGCCGTTCCATTTTGTTTAGGAAAAGTTATTGACATCATTTATACTGCTTCTCAAGACGGCACTCTTGTGGAAAAACTAAATAACATTTGTAAAATTTTAGTGGGTATATTTTTAATAGGAGCGCTAGCAAATTTTGGACGAGTATATCTGATGCAAATTTCTGGACAGAATATTGTGAAGAGGATGCGTGAAAGGTTATTTAATTCGATATTACAACAAGAAATAGGATTTTTTGACAAGAATAAAACTGGTGAACTAATCAATAGACTGTCCACAGATACATCAATAGTGGGTACATCAGTGACAATGAATATTTCCGCTGGATTACGATCTTCAGCACAAGCTATTGGTGGATTGGGAATGATGGTACATGTATTTATTTTTATGGCAGTAAATATGTTTGATGATTCAGACCGTACTTAGCTGCACTTAAATATTTTTCTGTATATTTTAGATATAATATTTCTGAACATTCCAGCCGGTTGTTCTAGCTAAGTCTGTAAATTGACAGATTACTTTCAGTTGCCAGATTTATTTCCATAATTTTCGAACTTCAACATCATTAAAGTTCTCAGTGCAATTTGAAGTTCAATTTTATTAATCAATAAAGTTCTAATGGCCAAAGTCATATCATCTCTCCCTTTTTTAAATATCTTGAAAAATATATCCAACAGCAATAGTACATTTTACTGTTTATTAGTTTGGAAGTGTCAGTTTAAAACATCAACAAGTCATTCATTATGTACAGTATTTATAAAACATGTCAATCAAATTCTTCTGTTAGCAATGTTTTTCGAGTCCAGGTTACATGTGTGCATTGGTTCTCTTTTCCTTATTGTTTGATAAACAATAATGAAGCAACATAAGTTCTATTTTAGACTACAGTAGAGTTTGCTTTCACCTGTCATCATATTGTCATCACGTTTTCCTAAGAATCAAGTTGAATCAAATTTTGGAACAGAAAAGTTATAAATGAAAAGAAATACATCAAATATTAATAGTCAAGCTGACCAAGTCTAGAGTATAAACATATATTTTCATTGCCTAGGGTCTATATTTAAAAGGAGAGATGCAAATTATAGGTATATAAAATTCCAGTACTCTTAGTACTAGAATCAATTTTACATTAAAAATTTCTATTGATCCGTCTATCCCCACCTTCCTGTATATATTATGTAACTATATATACTATTTATCTTTACAGTTTTATGTCTCACCTAAACTAGCTGCTATATCTCTAGCTATAGTACCACCTGTGGCTATTTGTTCTATAATATATGGCAGATATATAAAAAATATAACCAAGAAAGTACAAGATTCATTGGCTAATGCTACACAGGTAATATATATAAATATATAAGATAAGGACACACCAGTTTGAATTTTTCTTTTTTACGGAAACCCATTAATATTTTACTTCTCATTTCTATTTTTTTTTGGTGGGGTGGGTGGGAAAAGCATTTTTGAAACAAAAAAAAATACTCAAATACTTATACAAAGCATCATTCACAAGACCACTCGGCAAACCTCGGCAGATTCCGGTACCCTACATCTAGCCTAGGCTGTGTGACAGTAAGTGATATGTACCTATGCCTATACATTTGCGATGTGGCACTGGTTTGTTTATAAGGGAAACTTGCCCGCGTTTAGAAAGAAGTTCTCAAAATTGCGTCGTTCGAAGAGTGTGTAGAATTTTCAGTGCAAATTTGTCCTTGTCTAAAGAAAATCGGATAAACTTGAAAGAAAAACAGCTTCAAACTTTGAAAATTTTGTAAGATAAAACATTCTTCAAATACGTCTCCATCATTGACGTCATTGGTTGTCATGGACAACGCCATTGTAATCCGGGAACTTGAAAGTAGTTCTAATGGCGGACTATGTCATACAGCTGAGATTAGATGTAGGGTACTGGAATCTGTTGAGGTTTGCCGAGTGTCACAAGACCTGTTAAATAGCTGTTTATTTTTTAAGACACTGAAGAACTAAGATTTATATTGCTTTGGACTAAATTATAGTAGGTCAGTCATCTATGATAATGTGTTTCCATGGTTTCCATGCCATTTGAAGGATAACACACACTGACAGCTGTAAATGCATTATCCTTGACAAATTATAACTTGTCTCGGTTGATCTAGAACTTTGGTTTCCAATCCACAACAGTTGCATGAGTCAGTTGCTAATATTTTGGATCCAAACTCAGTTGCTTGTTACATAGTCGCAAATAAAACACCCCTTTGTGTTCATTCATCACACGATTCTCCTTGAATTATGCTTAGACTTTATATTCATGATGCTCATTTCTGGTAGAGCTATGAGACTAAGAAGGCTGTTGATTTCCATTGATTACTTGCAGAGTTATGGCCCCGGATCAATCAGAAAACATTTGTGTATGCTCTAATTGCTAAAGTTATCAGACGTTTTTTACTTCTGATAACTTTCAAAAACCTGTATGGACTACTCAAATGACTTACAGCTGTGGCTGCTGTGGGCATGTTTCATTGTCTGGCAACTGATCTTTGCAAATTCAGTTACCCTTTAAATTGAGCTAGTAAGAGACTTTTTATATGTTATAAACGTACATTGTACTTATATTGTCTCAAGAGTAATACAGATTTGAAGAATTGCTGGAGTTTATTGTGTTATAATTGCAGGTAGCAGAAGAAAGAATAAGTAATGTACGAACTGTCCGTGCTTTTGCCCAGGAATCAAAAGAATGTCAATCGTATTCAGAGAAGATATCTAAAGTTCTTCAACTGCAGTATAAAGAAGCTCTAGCACAGGGTGTATTCTGGGGATTTGTAAGAAAATATTTTGAATCATTTATATAGTGCACGAAAGAGTTTCAATTTCTGAGCGCCCAGGCCAGAATACTTCCAAACCTTCTGGAATGCATATCAAGACCAAAATATTTATTGAACAAACATCCCTGTACTCACAATCCCTGAATGTAGTGTCTAGTTGACTTCTGAAAATTCCCGAAGTATACCGTACTTGGTGTATTCGACTAAAATTAGTCATATGGAGCTCAATGTAATTATAGACAGCCTAAATTCTGTATGTGCTGAAAAGTGTTTTGTTCATAAATTAGATCAAACAAAAAATGTAGGCCTTGATGTTTTGGCCAGGCATAAGCTATCCTTCAGTCAATAAACAATTATGAGACCATACAGATGGCAGCGTGAAGTTATTAAACATAATTATATAAGGTGAACTTTATATAAATGGCCATGGAATATTGAGACAAAGGTTATTGTAAAGTACAGATTGTAACATTACACCATACCACTTGAATATACCTATTTAATGGATTAGATGATGAAATTGTTTACCTGATTTGTACTCGTGTTTTGTTAATGTGTTATTAACTAGTATAAATAATGAACGCTTGGCACATTTCCCATACCATTATTTGAAATAATGATACGTCACATCTGTATTTTATAATGTGTTATTTATTTATTGTAGTCTGGTTTATCAGGTAATATGATAATATTATCTGTATTTTATAATGGTGGTCTGATGATGACAGAATCACAGATAACTGTTGGTGATCTGACTGCATTCCTTCTTTATGCTGCTTATGTTGGTATCTCTATAGCAGGTAATTCATTTGTATTGATAGACAGATCTTAATTTTTGATAAACAGATCTTAACCTTTGATAAACAGATATTGATATTTGATAAACAGATATTGATATTTGATAAACAGATCTTAATATTTGATAAACAGATCTTATTTGTGGACAGGATACTTTCGGAATAATAATTTGCAAGTGCTCTTCAGATTACTGCATTAGCGAGTTTGTGTATATTATACACACACTCACACTATACATTCCTTTAAAGACTTTATCCATATTAAACTTGTTTTTTGGATATGCAGAAAAGTAGTTAATCCCTATTCCATTTCCTTTTTAGATAAATTTTGTTGATTTTCAATTTAAGACAGCATATCATAGCATAACTTTATTACTTTACTGTCACAGGTTTGAGTTCATTTTATACAGAATTAATGCGAGGATTGGGAGCCAGCAGTAGGATCTGGCAACTGGTAGAAAAACAACCAACAATACCTCTTACAGGTAACTGTAATCATTATTGTCCCCCACCTTTCGAAGAAAGCAGGGGACTATTAAAATGGGTCTGTCTGTCTGTCTGTCTGTCTGTCTGTCCGTCTGTCTGTTCATCATACTTTTTGGGACACAATAACTCTCTTTCTAATTGAACTAGAATGTTCAAACTTGGTGTAGGTGTTTATTAGGTCAATGCCTTGATTTAGTTCGAAGATAAGCATTTTCTGCTTACCGTAAGCAGAGATAAGCAATTTGATTGGTTGATGCTTTGAGACACGATAACTTTAGTTCTAATTAAGTGAGAGTGATGAATCTTGGTGTATAGTTTCATTACATCAATACCTTCACTAAGTTTGATAATGAGCATTTTCTGCTTAGGGTAAGCAGAGTGATAAGCAATTTGATTGGCCAAGACTTTGGAACACAATAACTCACCTTCTAATTGAACTAGAATGTTCAAACTTGGTGTAGGTGTTTATTAGGTCTATACATTGATGGAGTTCGATGATGAACATTTTGTCTGCTTATGGTAAGCAGAGATAAGCAATGTGATTGGTTGATAACTTTGGTTATAATGAAGTGAGAGCGATGAAACTCTTATATAGATTCATTATATTATTAACTTGATTAAGTTCGATGGTGAGAATTTTCTGCTTAGGCTAAGGAGCGATAAGTAATTTGATTGGTCAAGACTTTGGAACATAACAACTCTGCTTTTAATTGAGGTAGAATGTTTAAACTTGATGTAGATGTTCATTAGGTGAATGTCTTGACTGAGTTCAGAGCTAATCAATTTCATTGGTTGATGCTTTTGGACAAGATAATCTTGATTCTATCTGATAGAGAGTGATGAAACTTAGAGTATAGTTTGATTGCTCGATACTTTTGAAAAAAATAAATGTGCGATTAATTAATATGTGTCATCTGTTTATTCGGTGAGGGACATCAACCTCACTGTTGGCTTGTTTAAATTGTGTAGCCAAGTGACAATAGTTTTCATGATATGGATACAGTTCTTGTGTAGGAATTTGTTAAAGATGCATAATGTAAGATTTAGATAAAGAGCTGACAGTTCTGAGCGACGTTTGGAGTCTTGTCGATTGTCATTGCTAATATGACGTTACGATAATGAAAAGGGAATATCTTGAAAATTTCAGTCAAATTACTTCATTCTGCGCAACGTTAGGGCTGTTTGGATAATAAACAATAGTAAACAAAGTCGTGATTATCCATTTTATTATACGTCCACATTCATAATGTGAACGTATTATGCCGTCGCCCCTGTCTGTGTGTGTGTGTGTGTGTGTGTATGTATGTGTGTGTGTGTGTGTGTCTGTGGTTCGCCTACAGGGCGCAATTCTTCATGGATTTTCTTCAAACTTGGTATACTTATTCCTTATACCCCAAGGAAGATCCATATTGTTTTTGGTGCATGCCCGACCCCCCGGGGCAGAGCCACGCCCATTTCTAGTATTTGTTTGTTTGTCGTCTACAGGCCACATTTCTTAACTAATAATCTTGAAACTTTGCATACACATTCTTTGTACCCTAAGGAACATCCTTATCGTTTTGGGTGCATGCCCAACCCCCAGGGGCAAAGCCACGCCCATTTTCTTTTTTATGTCTGTGTGTCGCCTACAGGCCACAATTCTTAATCAATCGTCTTGAAATTTTTTCATATGAATTGCTTATACCCTAACGATGATCCCTATTGTTTTTTTACCCCCAGGGGCAGAGCCATGCCCATTTTCTTTTCTTTTTATGTCTGTGTGTCACCTACAGGCCACAATTCTTAATCAATCGTCTTGAAAAAAATTCATATGAATTGCTTATACCCTAACGATGATCCCTATTGTTTTTGGTGCATGCCCGACCGTCAGGGGCAGAGCACGCCCATCCCTTATATTTATTTATTTGTTTGTCATCTACAGATCGCATTTCTTATCGTATCACCTTGAAACCTAGCACACATATTCCTTCTATCCTAAGGAACATCCCTATTATTTGTGGTGAATACCCAACCCCCAGGGGCAGAGCTACGCCCATTTTCTTTTTTATGTCTGTGTGTCACTTGCAGACCGCATTTCTTAATCGATCATCTTGAAAACTTTTTTATACTTATTCCTTATAGCCTAAGGCTACTTTTTATACTTATTCCTTAATCCTAAGGCCGACCTCTATTATTATTTTTGGTGCATGCTCGACCCCTTGGGACAGAGCCACACCTAATGTTTGTGTGTCTTGTGTTTTGCCTACAGACCGCAATTTTTAACAGATCCTTTTGAAACTTTGCATACCTATTCGAAACGTCATTTTTTTGGAATAAAGACATCGATTGTTTTAAAATAAAAATTGTGTTCTGTTAATGTGAACGAAGTGTTAAACTGATAGCAGTCCTACAACCCAGTTTTATTTCACAGACCCTCAATGCAAACTGGACCATATCAAACAAAACAGGAATGTGGACGTATATTGCTGCGTTAGCGATGCTCTTGTTAAATTTTCATTGACTGGCAATCGCCTTTAAATCCGTTGAAAATCTCAAGCATCTGATGGCATCGAGAGTTAATTATGGTCTTGGCTAGTTAATGTAAATGTCTAATAAATAATTTATATAATATTTAAGGCCCCAACAAATACCTGCAATGGGCAGAATTTACTCTTGCGTAATGCATCTTTAAAAAATGCTTTCAGAATTTATGAATATTGATCATTTTCTCTTGAAGGACAATGTTGGTGTCCACCATTATTACATATGTGTTAGAACTGGTTAAACACATTTCAAATGTAATTTTAACAAAGAGATTTTACTACGTTAGATGCGAAACGAAGATTAACAAAAAGATTTTACTACGTTGACGCGTAACGAAGATCTCTGTGTTAAAATTATATTTGGAATATGTTTAACCTGTTCTAACACATATGTAATAGTGGTGGACACCAACATTGTTCTTTAAGATTAGGTTTGACATCTGCTTCCACAACAGTGATATCACCAGGTGCTTTCCATGGATATTTATAGCACTATACATGTTTTTTAGACACCAACATTGAATGTGGTTGTATATATTGTCACCAGCTGCATACATTGTCTGTCCAACTTTCCTGGTAAATGCTCTACACTGTACAGTTCATATTAGGTTTTTATTCAAATTCATAGAGATTGTTCATTTGGATGTAAGGAAGAACTCTATCAATTTTTGATCAATAATCCCAAAGTTAGCTCCCCATCTACATGCTGAAATTATAAAATTCTGAAAATTGCAGGGGGATTAGGGTAGAAAGAAGAATGTAAATTTTAAATGCATTTTGCATTCACAATAAAAGATTTTTTCTCAGGGGATAAGTGAATATCTGATTAAAATACAATTTTGTTTCTACAAAGGTTTTGCTCAATCTAAGGATAGTTCATTGGATTGAATTAGATTGAATCAGGTGCTAACTATATTCAGCTTGTTACCTTGTTTTATTTTTAAGGTGGTATTATTCCATCTACACCAGTACAAGGTAATATAGAATTCCGTAATATAGGATTTCACTACCCAACACGATCAGATGTCTCAATATTTACTGATTTAAATCTAAGTGTACCTAGTGGTAATATAACAGCAGTAGTTGGTGCTAGTGGTTCAGGCAAATCAACATTAGGACATTTACTTCTTCGATTTTACGATCCACAGTCAGGTATTTGTTTGAATTTCTCCATTTTTAAAAATTTTTGAATATCAGTCAACATAAAATTAATTTGTTTTTCTTAAAAACAGGTTCTGTTGTAGATTGTGGTCATTAGACATCAGGTCATTACTAAATCGTCTAATAATTATCAAGGTTATTCAAGTGATGCTCATTAAGTAAATATTTATGTTTTTTTGTAGGTAATGTATATTTAGACAATGAAGATATTAATAGTTTAAATCCAACCTGGTTAAGAAATCATATTGGTACAGTTAGTCAGGTAATTATCTATTATACGCTTACATTCAATGTTGAGGAATATTGTCATCTAGCAGATGTCCACCTACAGTTGTATTTTACCAATCTATAGGTCAGAATTGTTTAGAAATGAAATGAAATGGGGTTTAATGTCCTACTGTTCTGTTCCTAAACTGGGCTAATGAAGACGAGCATATGCCATACAGTGTGCTATGAGGGAAATTTTGCCCAGGCAGCGGCGCTACGGCCTACTCTTATATCGAATTCCAACTGCCAAGTGATCTTTTATGTGCACGCCAATATGTACACGGGACCTTGGTTTTTTGTCCCATCCGAAAGACTAGACAGCTTTCCTTGTCAGGCCCTCTGTCCTGCATCACTGACAAGGGGAAACCACGCCGGAAAATCAGAATTCTTTGGAAATATTTTTAAAACATGAAGGCATTGTTCATTGGATCATAATTAAGGATGACCCCTATCAAAATTCAGTGGACACTCTACAGTTCACAGTTTTTATCTGGTTTTGATGAAGCTTAAAATATATGTTTATATCCCGAAGATCTCTGATGATTTTGTGAAGCATTGGGACAATGAGAGGATGAGCCCTAACGATATTCACAGTTCTCTGCCCATCTACTGCATGTTAACTGCCTGTAGGGAATAAAGAAAGCTCTTAGTTTAGAATGTTTGTATTGTATTTTTAACTTGTTTTTTCAGGAACCAATATTATTTTCTAGTTCTATAGCCGATAATATAGCTTACGGTGCTGGCGATATTTCGACAGTTAAAACTGAAGATATCTGGGATGCTGCAAGAAAAGCCAACGCTTATAAGTTTATTGTAAATTTTCCTGAAGGTTTTGATACAATGGTAGGAGAAAGAGGACTAATGTTATCAGGTAAAATAAACATACTGTAATTGATGTAATAACTACCCTGATGCTTAAAAAACTGCTAAAAAGAGGTGGCCTATGGTGACAGAATGAAACAAATAAATATGTTGTGGTTTTCTACAAGCCCTCAGATACCCTCCCACATATTAAGACACCTAACACTGTAACCCAGGTATCATTTAATCTTGTGTTTCTAGCACTAATTTCTTTCACATTGGTTTAATATCAAATCTTTGTTTAAAAATTCGTAAAAATCATTTAAAATCACCCAAAATCATCTAATTTGACCTGTATCCAGTTTATAACTGACTAATTAATTTTGATAATGTGTGTCCAATTTGTTTATTTTTTAACAGTGATTGAAAAATTAAACGCTTGTAAATTGGACACTCATTATCAGAATTGGATTGTCAACTTTAAACTAGACACAAGTACAAATTAGATGATTTTTGGTGATATTAAATGATTTTTACGAATCAAATGTGAATGAATTTAGTGCTAAATACAGAATATTAAATGATACCGGGTCACAGTGTAAGCACATGCATATTATTAAAATAAAGATCTAGTTGCAAAATAACTTAGTCTAGGTTGAGTGGAGTTTAGACCCCATTTTTATCCCTATTCTTTTCATGACACAGATACAACTTGTTTAATATAAGTAAATATGTTAGGAGAGGGAAGGTATTTGTTTCAATTTCAATAAAAAATGATACATTGGTGTCTAGGATAAAACACAACTGTAATAATGGGAAACACCTTGCAAATTGATACAATATCAAGTGATAAATTAACAATTTTATGAAAATAAATTTAGTCATGTTCTTTTCCTGATTCTTCTCAAGAAATCTGACTATTTTTCTATAAACATTTTACAGGAGGACAAAGACAGAGAATAGCCATTGCTAGAGCGATATTAAAGGTATGTAAAATTACATCTTTCACTGATCAACAGCCCACAGTCTTGACAGTTGGTATTTACAAATTCTCTCCTCTAACATTGTACACTTAGACATAGACATTAAAAATATAGGCCCGGCAGAGTGAGTGAGGTGGGCCTGGGGGGGGGGCTTCCCTAGGCGGCCCCTGGACCCTCGCCTAAAGTCCTAGGATGGTGGCCCCCCATATCATGAATTGCTTCCGCGGGCCCTGAAATAACAACATTTTTTGTCCTATTTATTGTTTGTAACGTATGACAGGAAAACATTGAAATAACACAAACTTTATTGATAACAATCAAACGTTTCAACAAGGTAAACAATAATATGACACAAAAGGGCTGAAAGTGAACATTTAAGATAGTGAGACGTTATATTCAAATAAAGTTTAATATTGTAATAGTAAGTGCAGGAGGATCGCACTACACACACAGAAATACGATAAGACAAACTCACGGACAAGACAAAATAGGCAGACATTGCAAGAAATAAACAACAAATTTCAAATCAAGTGAATGGATCTAGTAGTTATTGTTATAAGTACCATGTAAAGTTTTTTCTCACATTTCTAGAACACCTGATAGCCTTTCCTATGTATTTATGAAGTTTGAGTGTATTTCTGTAGATGGTTCTAAATACAGATTATTATTTATCCAACATAGCTGACAATATTTCTTGTGTTTTATATCATATTGTATTTTATATTTTTCAGAATCCAAAGATTCTTCTGTTGGATGAAGCAACAAGGTAAATAATTCAATAATTTTTATAGGATAGTGCTATCATGCCCCCCCCTCCCCCCCCAACACATACAATTACAATCATACATGTATACACATTGTGAACTTTAGAATCTAAGACTCGCTACATAATACTTTATGCCATAATATAATAAATGTCACTTTGTATTACGCTAGAATCCATATAGCGCCTAACTCCTCCTACCATACAAAGGTTCATGTCAGTATTTAATAATAGAGGTCTAAAAGGAAAGTCAATATGAAGAGAAATCTATAGGGTAGACAATTCCATTTTCGGATGCGATCTATTAAATTTATTTTGATTATTTGATTGTAAGTCTCTTGGGCTGTATATATTTGTACTAAGTCACAGAGATATTTAGGGGCTAAACCAAGAATAGATTGCTATCAAACATGTTAATAAAGCCCTGGTGACAGTTTATTATGAGTTCTATTTTTATTTCAGTGCCTTAGATTCTGAGAGTGAATATTTAGTGCAAGAAGCGCTTGAGAGACTTATGATTGGTCGAACTGTCATAACCATTGCACATCGTCTTTCTACAATAAAATCAGCTAATCAGATTGCCGTGATAGATAGTGGTAAGATAGCAGAAGTTGGTAGCTATAGTGATCTCATGAGGATACAGGACGGTATCTTTAAAAAACTAGTAGAAAGACAAACTATTACTTATTAATTTCCTGTTTCCTCAATTTTCCATTATATGTGATGTTTATTTGGTTTGATTAAGTCTAAGGATCAAATTAAGGATCTTTGTGCTCTAGTTAACTTTTCATAATATATACAAATTTGGTTTTGTGGTGAGGCCTTCTATTAAACAATGCATAAATTTAAATCACAAAACTTGATACAAACTGCCATAAAATCTTCCAATTTTTATGTAAGTTTATTTTTAACCAAATAGTATAGTATGCTTGAGTCGGTGGACTGATATTATTTTTGTATGGGCATGACTTGAAGAACTCCCTTATTATTATTATTATTTATTAATGTTATATACATATATTTACGTTACATTTGATTAAGATTGGTCATTCATAGTATTTTAAAACATATATTGTTTATACATGAAGTTATTTTGTACATTGAAATGAGTGCTTAGATAGGGAATAACCAGTAAACCGTTAAATGACCATAACTTGCGATAGAATTATTCGATTTGACCAAAATACTTTTAAGTGTTTACAGTCTTAAATTATATATTTAACCTTTATTTTGGCATGTTGACACAACTGTGTCATGAAATTAATCTTAAAAATTGCTATGTTGTCATACTTTTTACGTCAAGAACTTTGACGTCAACATAAATCAACCTGTGAACACCTTGCTACTGTAACTGTCAATGGTGACTGGTTATGGGTTAATGAAATGTCTGGTCATTCAGTATGTTTGCATCAATATTTAGTGGATAAAAGAAAGCTCTCAAAAATTGTCACATTAAGAAAGTGTTTTAACATTTTTAGAATGGCTTATATAAATTGTTGATTTATTGATCCTCTGAGGTGAATCATGTACATTTTTTGATAAAAGAGATAAGTGCTATTTGCATCTTTCCTGTGGAAGCTAAAAAAAACTATTTATATGAAATAAAACAGATACAGTATCTGCAAACTTGAAGGAGACATATCTCGTTTTCAAAATGAATACCACGTATAATAATTATGCAAAAATATTGGTTGTTAGTTGTTAATTTTATTTTTTTAAAAAGAATTTTAAAATTTATCATGTTTATTGATATTAGTTATTTAATATAATATGATATATCACAATTATATGAAATACAAGTTTATTTCTGGCAAGTTTCAATGAGGGTTCTTTTTTGCTTGATAAATGTGGCCATTCCATATAATTGTGTCATATGTTATTTATTCTGTTACTAAATGTGGCTTAAAGATACATTGTCCCGAGAGTATTTATCGGGTGGTTATTTCCAATAAAATTATGGCCAATCTTTCTAGAAAAATACTGGATTTCCCGACAAACACCCATGGGGCAAACACTGTCCAAAAATGTCAGGGTATCACTAACTGGCAACCCGACTGTTGTCTGCCAGTTTATTGTGTGCTAGCTTGACTGAGGGAGCAGTTGTTATTTCTTGATTAAATGCTTAGGCGGTTTTGGGAACATTGAGGGGTGTCAACAAGCTTATTTATAGCTATAGGAATCTCCCCGCGAATACAAAGTTTTGAGAAGGATTTGAAGCAAATTTTTGAATATGTTTTTAGTCCAAATATATCATCAAATCACACAGGAAAGTATCTTTAAACAATGTTCATATGTTTGGGAGTTTTGTCCAATTTTGAAATACTAAATTCTTGTCGAAACCATTGAAATTAAAATGATGGCAATAAAATGTACCAGCGATTGTTTCATAGATTTGAGTCTGGCACAAAATCTTGTGACTGAATCTCTTGTTGAATAATGAGGATATTGCCACACAGTTTTGTTAAAATATAACTGAATATACAATTTTTTATAGGCCAGCTGATTTGCATAATTAAAACTCTGCATAAATATATTTATACCCTATGCAAAAATCAAAGTATGGTATTCTTTTATAGAAATAAAACATATTTTTTTAATAGTTGTTTATGTCTTAAGTGTTGAATGATTTGTCCAGCATCTTAAATGGCCTTTTAACTCACCCCAAAATCACTGATTGAACTCTGCTTCAGGAATTCATATGGTTCTTTCATTATGAACAAATATTTATGGACTACTGCATGTAGATAGTTCTTAAGCCTTATGATTAATGAAATGTAATTGCTATCATTAAAAATTTCTTGGAAAATCATGCTGACAAAGATCATTATTTGTCTCTATTTCACATTGCAGATCTAAAGTTTTAGATGATCCCTATCAAATTTAAACTTCAATGGTGGTGGGTGTATTTGGCTTGGCTAGCAACTTTGTGCTGGAATTCTTCAAAATATTCAGAACATCTCCCAGTTTATTCTTAAAATTTGGATGGTCTCATTTTCAAACGCCTGTCTTAGTTTGGATGCCAGGCTTGTATGTGGTTCACCTAATTGACATGGATTTTCTCCTGTTCCCTCTCTCTGCTAAACACCCCTGCACCTGCAGTGCACCCAAATTATTTGAATACAGATATACTGTATGTTAGTCCTATAAAGACCTAGTTCATAAGTAGTCATTAGCCCCATTTCTCTTTCTTTGAAACTTGTGAAATTTATTTGGTGAGAATACTTCTGTAGCATGTTAGTAAAAGTGACTAGTTTGTAAGTGAAATGTATGGAAGTATAACAAACAAGGAATGAAAATGGCAAATATTTACTAATAATTACATAGTTATAGTTGTGCATACTGTACTAAAATAAAATCACTTGTTTTATATGTATATTTCACTAAGCAGCATGTGTTTAATAGCTTACTATACATACAATATAAATCAACATGCATATCTTACATAGCTCTAATAAAACACAGCAACGATTCTCATAATGGAGGACAACTCCATCTACGCATACTTAATCTTTTCAAAGCGGTGCGTATTGAGAAATAAAGGTAAATTTTCAAATACCTTATTTATAGATCTTCTTCGACTCTAAAACTGTCTTAACTAACTGCAATTATTAGTGTTCATTTCATGGATATTTTATTTGGGTAATTTTTTGACAATAGCTGAAACAGTTCACATCATGATCAACTGCTAGGAGTATATAATATAGAAAGAACAATGTAGTATGCATACATATAACTGTCTCATGTGCCTAGATGTGGTCTACAAACTGATTAAAATACAGGTACTATTTTGATTAGCTTTTTATAGTTTAAATTTTTGTTGATGCTGGAGGGAGGGGAGGTAATCCAATGCATTGGTCCGATTAGTCGAGCTATATAAGGTGTGTGCACAGAATGAATAGTATAAATAAATCAAGACCATCAAACCAAAGTCCCCAATAACCCCAACATTACCTCCCTCACAGGAACAGCTATCGAAAGTATTAGAAAAAAAAACTTGTACAAAATTTAAATTTGTATTTTAATCAGACTGTATGACCTATAGGACTGCTTGATTAATTTCTATCTTCACAAATTTGAAGTATCAAAAAGTACTATAAAAGTATAACAAATTAACATACTCTAGTCTTGACTGTCTGACAAAATACAGAGGCTTTAATGTATCCAGCCATGAATATAAAATATAATCTTGAAGTCGGCTTTGATTTCATTAGCATGGTATTAATCCATATCTTTCAACCAAGCAGTTCTATTTTGCAATCAAGAAAGAATATTTACTTATAATATAGAGATAAGCCAATAAACAACTATACTTAAATGCTTGATCTGACTGGTCGCAAATTTCCTGTCAATGATAACAAAAAGAACTACTGTTTAACTTTTCATATAGAGTATTGCATATCATGAACAAGATATTTATTCATTAAATAATTGAAATTGCATTTTATCCAGTCTTTCTTCAGACTATATTTTCATAATAATTCTAGATGGGCTGTATAAAAGACTTATCAGTACATTATATGGTCTATGGTGCATATCTTGATTCTGAAAAGTCAATAATTTTCTCAAACAGATAAATATACAACAAAGTCTCACACAAAAAAAATCGGTTTCTAATCAACATATAAAAATCAAGGAACACAAAAATATATTAGTCACACAAGACAAAGGAGATTTTTCTGGGAAATATTTTTTCAGAGAATATCAACATTCTAAACTGGAATTCTGAAACAACTGAATCTATTAAAAAATAATGAAAGCTAGCAAAATACACAACTATAATGATAATAAATAAGGAGTGCTGATAAACAGGCTGAAGCAAATATTTACTACAAGTATCCGCTTCAAAAGGAATTAAAATTTTCAAAATCTACTAATCTCATATTAGTTATAAATATGTATAAAATATTCCCTTTCCACTTGCAATATCACATTATGAAATCTCTTCTCAAATCCTGTATCCTAAAGAAAAGTTTGTGTGACTATTTCTATCAGTAGACACTTAAAGATGCATTATGTAAGAGCTAAATCTGCCTATTGCAGGTCTTTGTTTTGGCTTCCAATGTTATATAAATTATTAAAGAGGCAGTATGGGAGATTAGTTAAAGAGTTGACAGTTCTTGCTATAATAGTTAAAAAATATAAACGTAAATAGAATATGTTGAAAATTTCAGTCAAATTTCTCCACTCTGAACCAAGATATTAACGATAAAAAACATAGTCTCGATTATCCATTTTCAGATTTAATCATCAATGAGCGTTGAGCAGCAGATCGGATTCAAATCTGGCACATAAGATGACATTAAGAGTTGATTATGGTTTGGATAAGTTAATTAATGTCTAATTAATAGTTTATATAACATTTTGGGCCTAAAGAAAGACCTGCATAATGTATGTTTAAGTAGACATTTATTAACATGACAAGCCTATAATCAACTTTCTACTGATCTAGATCTTCGCATGGAATTAACATCCATGAGATTTAAAAATTTAATGATAAAATGGACAACTGAGGTAAAGTCTTGGTTGATGAGTACCTTTGCTACGATAATGAATTATCTAAGCTGTCCTCAAACAGTCATTACTCCGTTCAGAATAAAGTAATTTGAATGAAATTTTTAATATATTCATTTTTCATTACATGTATCTATGTTTGAACTATTATAGCAAGAACGTCTAGCTCTTTATCTAATTCTTAATTAATGCATCTTTAAGGATTTGAAAGAGAATACAGTATGTCATATCAGACAAGAATCAAAGTATCTGGAATAAGGTGTGAAGTAGGGGTCAGTGTTCTGCCTTTAATATTAGATGACTCATACTTTTTACATCAATTCTGCTGAAATTGTGAATGAAAAAATATAAGCTAAACATAAGCTATCCAAACTCCAACTCAATCTTGACCCTTGCAGTAGGCATGATTTCTGAAAGGGTGAGAGGAGATTTGATTGAATAAGTCAGTTATTGTTTTTGTCTGGAAATCTCAACAAAAATAATGTTTAAAGTTAGTACAAGTTAAGCTTCCTGAAGGTACAGCTAATTTTTTAAGTTTAGTAGAAAAAAATACAGAGGCAGATCTACAACACTTTCTTTGAAGTTACATTTGTACTGCTATAACCAAAATATTGACTTCAGGATCAAATGTTTAAAATTAAAGGAATATAGGAGGAGAAAATATGTGACCTACATGTATGCAACCGAAGATGTGTATAATATACAGTTTAATGGAGATGATAAACAACCTGTAGAGATTAGAGTACTACTATTCATGGAAATCCATTGTTTCTGGTTACCAGTAACATGGCTGACCTGGATGTCAGAAAAAATATCTGTACATTAAAGGATCATAATAAGAAGCTATTAATTCACCAACTGTTTTATAATGGAACTGGTGAGTGGCGTAAATATATTTATTTTTGTTGTATAATTCATCAGTCATGAACAAAACTTGTGATAGACTACAAGAGGTGATGACAATTTTTTTTGAGAATATCCTAAAATATTTGGACGGAGACTGTTTTATGAAGAGCTGACATCTAAAAGCATACTGTACAAATAATCTCCAAAATGAATATATGTCATGTAAACTTTCTTTAAAGAGGAGCCCTCCCTCACTTTTGAAATTTATTTATTGACAATGTGGTTAGATTGTGTGCAAAATTAGAGTAAAATCCACTGAACAATAATCAAGATGCAGCTCTCCTATTAGTTAAATAAAACTGAGCAGTAACTAATATAAAATCGGCATACATGTACATGTACCTCAATTGCATGACAGTGCTTAGATTTTTGATAAGCTTAAATTGAGCATAGGCTATATAAAAACGATATAAAATTTAAGGCAAAGTGATAATGACTGTTTAATCCTGTATTAGGCCTATTCATATAGTTCAAATATTGGTGGAGGTTACTAGCATAAACAACGTCTTGCAACTACCAACATTTCAGCACAGACCAACATGTACTGTCAAAATCTTTTCAGTTTTTTTTTCATTTTCACAATACATGTACCAAGTTCACATATCTATATATTGGCTAACTTTGTCATAAAGAAATATTTTAAAGTTTTGAAATATCAGAATTAAGTGAAAGTAGAGAAAGAAGCCTTAGTTATCCAGTACATCATTAACAAGCTACATGTACATTCCGATAATTTGTGTTACACAAAGGCGGCTGATGCAGTCAAGGTATCAGACAGTAAATGGTCTAAGAAGATGAACAAAAATGATACATATTTGATTCATGCATAAGAGAAAGCAATAATAAATTTCAAAAGACCATACTCGCTTGGTGTAATGTTAAGACAAATTAATTTTATTATCAGATTCACATCACATTTTCCTAGTCACTAACATTTAATACGAGGAAAGACATGTCTAATAACTTCTGACCATATACAACATAAAATTATATAATACATGTTTGATGTTATGATGTATTTCATTGTAGGACTTTTACATGTTATAAGTATCAGGTGAGATCAAATTAACAAAATTCTCTTGGTATCACGTTATATTTATAGCACGGCTTTCATGAGTTAACAGGTTTAAACATCGAGGCCGTAGGCTGAGATGTTAAGAGAGAGAGAGAGAGAGAAATGGGGTAAAACGTCCACTCGACACAAACTAGGTCATTTCAGGACTAACATATGGTTTAATTTTACTTCAATAATTAGCTTGCGCGTAGGGGTCTTTAGCAGTGGGAGGAAACCGGAGGACCTGGAGAAAACCCACTAGGTTGGACAGGCGACCCTACTCCTTGTCACGTACAACCAGGGATTCGAAACCACGCCAGTCGACTCAATGACAGACTTTATGATGCAGCGCGCGCACGCTAACCATTCAGACATCCACCCCCCACCTGAGATGTTAAACCTATTAACGAATGAAGCATGCTATAAAGGACTTGTAACATTGACACCTGCTCAACATGCTTGTTGTTATTGCACAGAAAACCCACCCCACTTCTCTATATGATTTCTACTAAAACTAGTGTAGACCAGCAAAAGAGTGCAATAACATTGAACATGTCTGGTTACATGTATTGCACGGTTAAGCTCCACCCAATCTACTAGAGGGAAAATAATCTGCTTATTCAACGAAAACAACAAAGGAAGATTTCCCATCCATGTTACAATTGGTTTTAGTGTAGTGCTCTACATGTAGTCCAGCAGGATCCTAAAAATCTAATAGTGGAAAGGCAGGCTAACAACAAAATAAATAGATCACATCTTATCAAAACAAACTAATAATATCAATGAAAACCACCAGAACTCATTAAACTGACCTACTACAATTAGTTAGCAAATGACAAACATGTAGATTTACATGTACATGTAGAACTGTCGTCCTAAAGGCCAATCTAACTCTGTAACTGTGTTGTACATGGACTTCACTAGGGCAAACAAAGTAAATTATGTTGCCATTGCACAGTAGAATCAAATACTTTAACTTTCTGTGAATCTGTTTTGACATTACACTTAAATGTATTATACATTTCACAATACTGTACATGTATCAAGAGCTTTGGGTTTAAATAGTTATAAAGCCTAATTGTATGAGTGAATTTATCTCTACATAAATTATATACAATATATTAAATAAGTCCAGATATACATTAGGGCTTCACTATAGCACTGATTTTGGGGGCATCCGATTGACTAAAGCAAAGTCGTAGGCCTGTTTTGGATAAGGCTCTGGAGATTACTATGGTGGAAGCCATGTCAACACCCACTATATACTGCAAGCTGTCTTTTAGTCAACCATGCTATAGTGAAGACACATTGCATTAGGGAGGGGGGGTTAATATATACATTTAAGGTCAATCTTCATCTACATTATAACAGGGCAGTTTTAGTGTACAATAGCCTACACCTGTGAGACTACGAGGTAATGCCCCCACCGTCTCCCAGATACCACTATATATATCATACTTTGATACAAGTTTTTGTCCGGTTTTTGTCTGTACATTATAACCACCTAGCACATAAATTTGATCATTATAAACCACACACGAAGCCTCTTTGTGAGATATAGATAGTGGCGCTATTATCGTCCATTGATCCATGGCAGGGTGATAGCACTCAGACTGCATTACTGGCTGCGCTTGCTGATTAACATTCAAGTTACAACCCCCAAATACAAACAACTTATCCTGCGCCGCACACATCACATGCCAACCTCTTGGGGTCAACATGGGGGCCATGTCTTCCCACTGATTAGTCTGTGGGTCATATCTCTGCATGTCTGGTGTAAAATGATTACCGCTATAACCTCCCGATATATAGATATATCGCTCAAACACGGCACCCGCATGGGCATGATAAGACATCGGCATGGCTGTAATCAACTCCCATGTGTTCTCGGCTGGGTCATAGCACTCTGCTGTTGCCAAGCTACCATCCTTAAACTTTCCGCCAACAGCATATATCTTATTATTTAATGCCCCTGCAAAGAAATATGCCCTTTTGTTTAACATGGGACATACTTGATACCAGCTGTCAAATCGTGGATCATAACGTAAAACAGAATTAACGGCCGATTCTCCATGTGCACACTGTGTCGTACACCCACCGAGTACGTACAGGAAGTTGTTATAAACAACCACCTGCATGTGACTCAAAGCACTGGGTAATGTTGCTATTTCCTGTCTGTTTAACAAACTGTTCGAAGTCACTTTAGAATCAAACACAATAATTTCATCGTGTAGACACGGGTTGGGGTGTATCTCCCGACCCCCGACACTTATTAAACGTTCAACATATGATCGTAACTGGACACTACTGGAGGTTGTAAAGGGTTGGGAATGAGGAACTACGTGATAATTTAAAGCTCCTAAAACCATCTGTCTTAAATCAGGGTTTGACATCATCGTTTCAACACGCTGCACATGTTGCACCAAGTCTGATGGGTTTATTAATGGGAAACGTATTAATTTCATCAAGGGCCATGCGTGCTCCTCTTGATTAGCGTCTTGTCGCAACCATTCCCATGTTATATGAAAAATATCTATTTCACGTAAAAACAACTTTTCACTATTTAAACAATTGTTCATTTGTTCGTAGGTTAAGAGATGGAGTGTGCCTTCTTTTGCTATCTGCATCAGATTCTTGGCTATAAAAACATCTATCTGCTTGAGTGCATTGTTCATACTATAAAGTTTAGCCGTATTGATAAAATCATAGAAATTAGAGGTTGTCATTCCACTCAGGAAGTTTCGCTCACAGAATTCTATAACTGGTGTCACTTGAAGATGAGTTGCGGCTGCTATCACATCGAATATGTCGTCACCTTCAAGTGTGGTTGTTGAAGTATAAATGACCTCAATGACCTTTTCCAGACCTTTTGCAGTTATTCCCTTTAGTTCTATTTCTTTCTGTTTACTCTCTCTCATACCACTGGTAAACATAGATCGAAAATAATCTGAACATGATACCAGTATAACTCTATGAACTTCAAATTTATTATCTGAAAAAATAAATCAATCAAAGATATAGATTTAGATGAATGTATACCACAATACAAGACTTATTTTTAGACTAAACCTAATAGATGTACACATTTGAAAATCACAATGTATTCCTAATATAATATATGCTAATGTGTTTTGACAAATTTCAGCAGCAGTTGAGTGACTTCTTAAATTTGGCTTTGACTTGAACAGTGCTTTTCTAAAAGGCTTTAAATCATCATCTACAACTTAAAGGTTGTAAGTAGTGTTATTTAAATAATTTATGTCCCAAGCCTATAAATTTAATATACAGCTAAGCAAACTTCTTTTTGACACTGTGAAACATACATGTAGTTCTATTGGTTCTTAATAAATTTACAGGTGAACTATTTCCTGGAAAAGAAGCCCTGGGTTATGATGTTTATTATTCTATGTGGATGGAGGGCCTGGCAAGGAACAGGGTCTGGTTGTATGTTGGAGTGCATGTAAAGCATATGCCGGTCTTCATTCGCCAAGGCAGTGCAGAAAAGTAGGACTTTGAACTTTAAAACCTATTTCATTTTTCATTTTGTTGAACTTCTAACAGAAACTTGATGTACATGTACAAACATGTATCATTAAGGTCATTATGAAGAATTTTGACAATTCAAATAACAGTCATTTTTAATTGCCTTGATTTGAGCGATTTTGGGAAACTTACTTTCAGCTATGAGTATAACATCACACAGAATCTTATCATTCTTTAGTTTGTTTAATCCTTGTAGTATCTTCATTCCATGCTCTGGCCTCTCTTCTACGCGGAAGATTTCACCATTCGTTAAATCTTGTCCTTCAGCCATTTTACTATCTTGTTTTTTACGTCTTTTAAAAACCACTTTTCTCGGCATTAACATCAACAATTCAATAAACCATGCAACATCTTTATCACCCTGGCTACAAGCAGAAAAAAAAGCCTATTATGGAAAATGAAAATCAGGAAAAAAAACTATGTAGTAAATTAATAATAAATTTGATATATTTTGTATGGAAATCACCTTTCTTCAATCTTCTTGCTCAAACTTTAATAAAATATTCAAATCATCTAAACAATTCTGCGAGACCAGCAACAGATGCATCAGTCTGTGAAATGTTACTTAAATTTTGCTGCCTCTTATAATAATTATTCAGCCCTTTAAAGCGAGAATTTCATATTTTCTAAGAAAGTCAAAACATAATTATTTCTATTTCTTTTGCTCAATAGGTTGTCAACTCACTATTATACAATGATAGGTATCATTCTCACACTTAAAAACCATTCACCCCGGAAATAATAACACAATTACCTCCCTAGTTTTTCTATTCCCCCCATGGAATAGCAATCTTCAAACGTTTGAATTTGAAGTTGAAAATGATATTTTTGCCAATTTCTCAACTGGAAATAGTGAATTATAGGATTAATAGGATTATTCTGTAACAAAGTAGGACTGTTTATAGATACCATCTATTTTAAGGCTTTATTTTAATACATTTTAAAAATATAACTTAAAAATATGAAATTATCGCTTTAAATATTCTGTTAAAAAATGTCAGTTAAATATTAAGAAGAAATGAAAAGCTTGAATTGGAGAGGATGGATGGTATTTCCTTTGGTCTCAAGACTTAGAATTAACATGAGATGTTTAATGTAAATACTGATATCTGTGCACTGATGTCAGCTGATTGTATTGATTTTGTTTATATACATGTATTACAAACCTTTTAGTTTTGCTCTATACATGTATATTAATATTGTTAGTACTAGTAGGTAGAAGACACCATCTAGCTTATTTACTATTTTGATTGGTTTTCAAATTTACATAAGAACCTAGTGCTATTCTGTTCGTGGCCCGATAGTCCACTAGTCTTGGTGTTAGACAGAAGGTTATATAAGAGGCTTATAATTCTGGCAGTCTGTAGTGTTACTCTGAATGTCTAATACAGCGGTTCTTTAATCCAACTTTCCCTTATTTCTAATGTTTGAAAGAAAGATAACAGCCTGGAAATCTGTCAACATTTTACAGTATTCTGATTATCCTTTATGCTAATCTGTTATTCCAATGACGTCGTGTTTGATATACTAGTTAATAGTCCATCAAAAGTGAGTTCTTCAACTCTACCTTCAATACAACAGTCTGTAAGACCCTTCTTTCTGGAGCATTATTCACCCGCCAGTCTGCAGAGTATGTCCGAGTAATTTTTTTCAGAGATCGGTGCACGCAAATTTTCTTTAGATTTGCACGCCAGTTTGGCACAACATTTTTACCTTGCACACAGCAACTTTACTTTAATGAGTACTAATTGTCAATTTTTCTGTATACGGTAATCCGTTATCAATCTGCATTCAATAATGACGATATTACCCGACATACAAGGGAGACAACTACCATAACGGTAAGTAGTGAAGTGACTCAGTGTGCGAGGCAAATTGAGCCAATCGAGTTGCCATGTGTGGCTAATGATGTACGCGTGCAGACTGTGAAGTGGTTGCTATAATTTTGAATTTCAGTGGTACTTTTTAGAAATTACATGCCAGACAGAAATAGCACAATTTATCACTCGTGGATTTATGTCCTTCACGCTTGAAGTGTTAGGTAGGTTGCACGCCAGAATTAAGTAAGGATTTTCATTTCACGCACTAGACCTCGTCGAAATCTGACATACTCTACAGACTGGTTTGAAGCCGTAGCCCGTAATACCATGTATCTCAGGTCTCTACGACTGAGGGAAATACTGGGTCAAGACTGCAGGAAAGTGTTTAAAAATAGCACCACATTTTGTCTATTATTAGTATCAAAATTATTCACATGATTCTGTCAAAATAATTATGAAATATCAAAATGCAAATTTGAACTTCATAATGAAATAATTTATATTAGCTTTTAATTTGCTCCATTAGAATAGCAATAGGCAATATTGTAACAAATTTAAATGGGTAAACAATAAAGACTTTCAAAATATCATCAGTATTCTTTGGCAAGATTGAACTCTGTCACTGAAGCTACTACCATGGACCTTACACATGTATCTCATGTAGGCCTACTCCGTACCCGATTGCGAAGAAGTCAAACTAAACAACCACAATAAAATTCTGAAATTTTTCTAAGACATACCACTTTCACACCCAGTAATAAGGTTTAGAGTTGCAGGAATCTTTTATTGTCTATTTAAGACATAGTTTTATGCTTGATATTCAAACGACAGTAAACAACCTTTGGTATTTTTTTCCTGTAAAATAAAGTTTATTTGCCATTTCCTACACAATATTTCATACCGGAAATGCAGATATTCTATACGTATGCGCATGCGTGAATAGGTATAGACAGAAATTATTTCACAAGTTGAAGATCATCGAACGAAGCGGTAGAAAGTAACAGTAATTATTACAGTCAGGTAAATATGTGATCTCTGTTCATTATTTTTCATAATCCATTGTCTAAATTCTTTTACTTATAAATATACCCGTCGTTATGTTATTCACATGTTATTTAAAACCGCTATTTAGCATTACATTTCGTGCAATTTCGCGGAATATTTTGACAATTTATTTTTGTTTTGATCTGGTATGTGGTAGTTTGAATTGTTGTTGAATTGTTGTTGAATTTGTCCTCACGTGGCCTTTTAATATAAACGTAGACATTCAGCTACGAGTTTTATTGATTTGTTTATGTGTATATCTATCTTCTACTTCAATTCAATATGTCACTGAATTTGGGATTTGATGTTATTCTAAAATACAATGATTGGATTAAGAGACCTGTGTTTACTGACTGGAAATTGTTGTGATGATGTAACAATCAACAAATACAGTAACAATTTTATGGAGCCTGTCATATAATCAAGAAGCCTGTCATATAAGTGTAGCTTATACTTTAGTTCAGAATATGGCATTCATGGTTGATGTGCTGACTCCCATTCAAGATCTCCTCTCTCAGTTTCGAACTGAATCTGCAGTGTCTCAATGTTGGGGTTGGCCCATTATTGCCCAGTAGAGGAACAAATACATATGAGCCTTTAGAAGACCTTTGCCAAGATCCAGAGTGATTACTCTGAGTCATGCAATAACTATTATACATTTTTTTGTTCTTTCACAAATTTGTAAGACAACAACCCCCACTCCTGAATTTTCCAGATTAGTTTCTCCTCGGAATGACAAAAAACTGCGCCGAGTCGTGCAGATGGGAAAAATCTGGGGAAAAAATTCCTTCAAAGCCCACTGCATGGCACATGCCGATCTTCATTAAAAGTAGGGTGTTATGGCCCAATTTACTTCATTTAAGTTATTATAGTCATGTAATTTCTACATTTTTTATTTCAGATGCAATAAATTGCTTAGAGTAGTAATGTCTAACAGTGTTTGCACCCACTGTGGGTGTACAGAGATCGACAAGGATCCGGGTAGAGGCGATGCTGTTTGTACAAATTGTGGTTCTGTACTAGAAGATCAAATCATTGTATCTGATGTCCAATTTCAGGAAAATTCAGCTGGTGGTACATCAGTTATAGGCCAATATGTTTCTGGTGATGGTTAGTAAAAAATATTAATTTTCAAACCTTTCTGGCTCAAACAGTAAGAATTGAACAGTTACTTTATAAAATGCATTGAACATCATTCTAAAGTATTTATATTTTCAAATAAGTTAAATGTTGTTTTGGTTTGATAGAGCACATTATTTGATCAATTTTGCAAATTTATTTTCCAGGAAAACTTTGTGACTAACAAATTTGCTAAGTTTTTTTCTCAAGCTTTGGATTAAAGTGCTCTCAATTATTCTTCTAATATGATATTTAGAATTTTTGAAAAGGTTTTATGAAAAAAGAACAGAAAATGCACATGCTTAGAATCTTTAATTAAAGAGAGAAATGAGCTTGACACATCAGGTCATTTTGAATCTAACATTTTAAACCTTTTTTCAATCTTTTTATTTGCTCACTTCATTCTCCAGCAATAAGATGAAGCTGTTGATAAGCAAGGCAATTCAGTAGGCAGCCGATATTGATTTTATGATGAAATAGATGACAGACCTCACCTGATATCTACAACATAATGTGCTAACACCCACCTCACTAATACACTAAAATAAAATAGAAGATATACAGCACAGTTAATTTGTTAAAATGTCTGAATTATTTTTAGGTACAAAATCAATCAATCTAGGTGGTACATTCGCTCCTGGTTTTGGTCGTGAGTCAAGAACTGTAACTTTACAAAATGGTAAGTCAGATTTCAATTACACAATTATTTTATGCCTCACATTGTCAGTATCAGAACATGGAATGTACATGTATATCAATCTGATTAAAACACAGATCCTATTTTTTCAGATTTTGATAGTTCAAAATTTTATTTCATGCCTTTACTACGCCTAGTGGACGCCATTGAAAGTTTAAAAATCCTAGCTTTTTACTGATCATGGCATGGGTAGAGCCCTGCAACACTTCCATATAAGAGTTTCATGAAACAGGAAGTATATGTAGCAAAACTCAAGAAGTGGTAGTGCAACGTCACCCTGTGTTACTCCCCAACTCAAACTGCCCTTATACCTAACTCTGCCTGGACAGCAATTGAATTCAACTGTACACAGAACTTTGGTTTTGTGTCTCATCCAAACCACTAGACGCGTTTCCATGCCAGGTCCTTCATCCTGCACCACTGATGGGAGGGTAACTGCTCTGGAAAATCCCGGGATTGACCCCTAGACCTCCTGTTTAGTGAGCCATAGTTTCACTCAATGAGCCACTGTGGCTCCCAATCAACTTTAAAGCTTGTCCTGTAACAAATTGATCCATCATACTTAATCAACCCAGTTTAAAATTCTATTTTGACTAGACCCTTTTCCTTGCCAGGCCTTCTGTCCTGCACCACTAACAAGGGAAACCACGCTTGAAAATCCTTTGAAACTTTCTTAGCCAACACCAGAATCGAACTTCTGGTTAGTGAGTCAGCGCCTAACCCACTTTGACTTCCAGGTGACTTTAAAGTTTGTCTTGTAATTAATTGATTCATTATGAACTAATTGATTCATTATGGTTGATGATCAACTCAGTTTAAAATTCTGTTTTGACTTCATTCTAGGAGGATCTGCTAATTTATTATTATTAATAATATTGAATCTTTGGTTAAATTTTAAGGTAAAAAGAAGATCCAACAGCTTGGAGCACAACTGAAGTTAAACAATCATTGTATGGATACAGCTTTCAATTTTTTCAAGATGGCTGTTACAAAGCGTTTGACTAAGGGCAGAAAAAGTCTTCATGTTATAGCTGCCTGCATATATTTAGTCTGTCGAACAGAAGGAACACCTCATATCCTTTTTCCAACTTTGTAGCCTACATTATTAGTCCTGTAACAATATGCGGTTATATCAATTCAATATATTGTGTAAATTTAGCTGTAACAATATATTCAGATATATTTTTTGAAATTCAGCAATATTTTAATGAATGATAATTTTGTTTCATTTTTAATTCAGTGTTTCATTCATTAATTGTCAGAATTTGTGTTATGTTTGTGAATAATGTTTCTCTACGGATAATGGAGAACAGTCATCATTTGACATATTGTTGTTTGTTAAAGACTCTGATCAGGGGATAATAAATCCTTTGCTGACTACAGTATTGACAGTATTGTAAAGTTGAATCTCTAAAAGGAATATCATATCAAATAGGGTTAAGTTCTGTTTCGTATTTACAAACATGAATTGAAAATTTGTTAACCATTGGCAAGATATATAAATGGGATGTGGTCAAAACAAGCCAATACAGTAGTAGAAATACTGCAATATACAAGAATATTGTTTTCGGCTAATTTCCATTTATTACCTATGAAAATATGTTTTATGTTATTTTTTCTTAACAATTATGTAAATATGTTGTTAGATTTTAGTGATCTACTTCAGGTGAGAGCTACTTTATGAAATAAATATATTTTAGAAAATTGGTATTTTGTAATCATGGCTGGCTAAGTAGGGTGGCTGTGAGTTCCAATGAGCTGCACTTCAGGTCTTAATGAGATATTCTCACAAATGTTACTTTCATAAAGTTGTATTATTTGTGATTGCAGGTGAATGTATATGTTCTAGGTAGAACCTATTTACATATATCTAAAGAATTGTGCTTAAATATACCAGCTATAGGTAGGTACTTCTTCCTTAGATTTTAATTCTTAAAGAACTTTGTAAACTGTCCATTTTGATTAATTATTTACTCGTATCTGTGAGTGAAATAACTTAAATATCTGATACCTCTTGTATTTACTTGGGAAAATCTTAAACCTCTTGTATTTACTTGGGAAGGTTGTGTGTGACAAAGGGAGTAGAGTCCTCTGTCCAACCCCTATGTGCAGACAGATTATTGAAATAAAATTGAACCATATTTTAGTCCCAAATTGACCTAGTCTGTGTCAAATTGACCTTAAACCCCATTTCTCCTTCTCCCTCTCTTTTTATGTATGTTTAAAGAGGTATAAAAATTGTGCATTTTGATTAATAAATAGCTTAAATCTGTACATGTATGTGTGAAATAATTGAAACATCTTATACAACTTCATATTTACTAGGACTGTTCCCATCTTTTACTGATTTTTGTTGTGTATTTATATAACATTTCAAAACTAACTGAAGCTATAATGTGTATGGTGGGTTCTATGTACCTTATATAATAGAGGGATGGGGGAGTTTTAAAGGTGCATTGGTGACTTTGAGATATTCCACATGTATACCTCTTTCTTTACCCTTGAAAATATTACTCCTTCCAAGAGTTATCAGCAGAAAGAAATATAATGCTATATATAAACTAACCTTAGATTTAAAATCGGGAATGAAATATCTTGCACTGCTTTGGTTCATTATTTCTGGATGTCCATCCAAGTTGATCTGAAGTATTTATGTCTAGTTTACATATACCAGTAATAATGGGTGGCAATATTGATTAATCTGTATGTGTATATTATCAGATGAGATCTATGATTTATATAGTCTGATGTACTTAATGCTTTAGCGCTTTGGCCATCAAGCATGGTTCCCCTTGTCAGTGGTGCAGGATGGAGTCGAAAATCTGAGGTCCCCTGTACACATAGATGTACATGTAAATGAACCCCCGATAGTTTGAATTTGAAATAAGGCTGTAGTGCTGCTGTCTGGACAATATTTCTCTCTTAGCGTACTGTATGTCTGTCTTAACTAGCCCAGCCTGTGCAATAGGAAGATTAACCCCATTTTATTTTCTTTTTTCAATCTGAGTTTGTGTCATGAAAGTGCATTATGACATGAATATTAACCCTTTACTTATTTCTAACAAACTATTTAATTCAACATATTAAACCTATTCTAAATACAAAATATAACAGGTCAGCAATAATCTATATATTTATATTGAACATATTTACAATTAAACTTTACTTTTGAAACTACATAAATTAGTTTAGCAAGTTCTACAATATTTATAAAGCGGTTGATCACGATCTAGTTATCCATTACAATACATAGTAAAATACTAAAGAGCTAATGTCAAGTAGAACAGTGATCACCCAATAACCTGGGCCCTGTTTCACGAAATTTTAACTAAAGATAAAATCAAATTTTAGTAGATACTTCAATTTTGATTGGCTTAGCACTAAAATCAATCTAATATTATCCAATCAAATTACTAAAATTTGGATTTTAGCTTAGTTAAAATTTCGTGAAACAGGCCCCAGATATAACACTGCCTAGAAATCTGACAATCTGTCACATATTTCGAAACATTTTCTTGTCTGTCCAAATCAAATTCAACCTTGATTGCATTAATTTAATGCACCATTTTCTGACTTAAATTACAGGAAAGAGATTCTCTATCAAATAATTATTTATGTGTACATGTACTTGTATTTACAAGATACTTTGTTTTTATTTTGATCTGTCCAATATAACACATAGCAGGTACATAATCATATGGTAAAACAATTCATTATATAATAAATACATAGTATATGATAACAATATAGAAGCCACACTCTTTAGGATTCATATTGACCATCATAAATTTGATGTAAAATAATCAATAGATTTTGCGTACACTGCTGGCTACATGTATGATGTATATATACTAAGAAATAAAAATAGGTTATGATTTAATGAACATTATGTACAAAAATCAGGTACCGTATATAGGCCACATTTATAGTCTTAAATTAATAGACTTATGGGAAGCTCTGTTCTACATTGTATATTAATAATAAGTCACCCCAAAAAACTGCATTAGATCCATGTAAATGTCATGGCTTGACATTGCAAGAATATGTTTGGAAAATTTCTACTTAATCTTTGGGTGTACAATACATGTAAGTCATTTTCTTTTTGTGTAACAATACTTACACACATGTATGTATATATCTACATGTAACATCAAACTTTTTATTGTGAAATGCAATATGGGAAGAGGGTACAGAAACGGTAAGTGCAAATGTGCTACAGAGTATTAACAGAATAAGTAAGAAATATTCTTATGGTGCTATATTGCATGTACCATGTATATTCTGGTACATGTATGTATACCAAAGTTTTTAGTAAAAAATGTAGATGGTCAATTCTTAAAAACAATTTTTTGGACACAAGGATATACTTCTAGCAAAATAATAACACTAATGCACTATATGTCACAATATATTCATCATAAAACCTGAGGTGCATCTAAATGATAGTTAATTAAACTAGTACTATCTTTTTATTTTGGGGATAATTTAGACTACAAATTACACACAGGGTACAAATCTATGCACAAATAAACTTCTAAAACTTTTTGTTCAAGAATAAAATATAAGTTCTGGTATTTGTCCACCTTGAACACCTGTGCCATTGGTACTATCGGAAGAACACTGAAATTGAAAGGTGACTTTTCCACATTGGATCTCTGCAAGACCTTCTTGTCCAAAATAACTAAGTTCTGTGCCATCCAAAACTGCACTGGCTGTGTAATAAGTCTCCGGTTCAACTTGAATCGGATTATCAAATTTGACAGGGAAGATGTTACTGGAGCCGTCGGATTTAAATTTTGTAATATTTTGTCCCAAGATTAATCCATTTTTCTTCAATTCAATGCGCACTTGATATTCTGCAGCCCCTTTACTAGATCCATACAGTCCAAAACCTGCAACAAATATTCTTCTATCAACTGAGAATTGTATGCTGTCACAACGGCCCCTGTAACGCCACTGATTGCTACGATAAGCGGAAGACTGAAACCGATGAACGTGATACTGTTGAAGACCTTTTCTGTGTTTATAATTAAATGCTAATAAGGGCTTTTTACGAGCTGTATAATTTAGGAAGATCGCGTTGGCCTCTTCTAATGTTAGAATACCAGACTGAGCTGGTCCATTAGCAAATTCCCCGAGACTCATAGTTGGTATTCGAAGCAAATGTAAACAACCTCCAAGAACTTTTCTCTGGTTTTCTGGATTGACATCTATTCCCTGTCTTTTGCATTCTGCCTCCGACCAGCGACACACTGCTTGAAATATTGACAATTCTTTAGCATTCAAGGTTTCTCGACTTAAAATAGTTTCTAGTGTTTTGTAATCTATATCTGAAAATCCATCTGATTTGAAGGCTTCTTCTGCTTGAGCATCAATAACTTCCCAACATCTTTGCATTAATTCAACTTCTTCAAATAGTCTACCTTGACTTAATAACACACAAGCATTACGAGCACTCAGGCTTGTTTCTAAAAAATCAACACAGACTTTGGCTAGATGTGGAACAATGTATTTCTTTGCTGCGTAAAGTGTAGCTAAAACATTGTCAGGCTCTAAACGGATCTCATCACAATATAAGTACCTAAACAAAAAATCAAAATGCATGTTAAATTACAATAAATATATTTCAAGTACTTTTGTTTATAAAATTGTTGAACCTAAATGTATTTATGCAGCAGTATTAAATGCTAGTGGTTACCATAGTCCTGAAGCAATGGCCTGAGAAATCTCTCTCTGGCCATTGCTGGATTGGCGTCTGATACTTTAGCTTTTGAGGGAGTGTGTCTTTTCTTCCCGTTTAATCAAAACTATCCCAAGTACAGCAACATGACAGCCCTTCGCTTAATCTGGGGTCTTCCCTAAAACTTTGGACAGTGATTTAAGGTATTAAAAACGGTGAAAATATTGTTTGTCTCCAAACAGTATTGTTTACATTGTATTTGTTTTGATAGCCTTGTTTGTCACACAATTAGTTTTTCTGTAGTATTCTGCTATGCACTAGTTAATTGGGCATAATAAAATCATGAGTCACAACATAACGTTATGTAAACATATTTGGTCCAATTTGGAGCTCTGTTTAAAGCGTAATGATATTGTTACACAGTTAGCTATTGGTTGTTAATCCCACTATTGACCAGTCACAATTTGGAACAGAAATTTGCTTCCTTTACAGCAGTGTTAAGTGGGATTAGGTATAATCAATCGAAACACTGCGAGGAGTATGGTGGTTAGGATTTGGTATTTGTTATGGTCTATTTAAAATTTATCACTTTACCTGAGCAAATTGTAGAAAGCTTGAGGTTCAACATCAGGAATTTCTACTTCTTTTGTTTCACTGGCCAAACCCCCATGAAACATTGCAAAAAATACAGTACTGCCAGTAGCTAAGACATATGTATGAGCTGGTATAACTTGTTGATTTGGACTAATACCCACAGTAAACTGAACATCAGACATCAATGAATTATTAAACATCACAGCATTTCTCTCTCGAACTGTTGTTTGAGTAGCTTGCCAATTGTGATCTTCGCTAGCTTTTGATGTTGGTAGGGGAGTTGGAGCGGGTGGTGGACTTCGTCGTGATATGGCAGAATAGGGTTGCCATGATATTGGTCCACTATGTTCAGATAGTGAATGTCGAGATGGCTGGGTGTAAGTTGGTTGTGTCACGAAGTTTGAAGTAGGAACCTCTTGGTTGACTTCATCTTCATCTTTAATCTTAGTTGACGGAATACAGGACTTTATCGACATGCTCAAATGATTTCACTCCTAGCTATTAAGAAAATAATTAAACAGGAGTTATAATATGCCCAGCTTCTTAGACTGACAATGAAAATTTGTAATTAAATTTCATCATTACAGTATTTTGTAATTTAGTCACAAGTTCAGTTGAAATGTGCCAATAAAAGATCAGCAGTATTATGCAATGTAGCCATGGGGCTGCAATCAAACCGGTTAACAAACAGGCTGGTGAGGGGAAACACCAATTTTTTGAAGTTACACACAAACATTCATTTCATAATCTGGGATAGCAGAAAGAGCAACACATCAACTATTAATTGATTCATACTCATACCAGTCAAGTTACAAACCTAATGATCATTGAATCGATGTACAAAAACTTGAAAAAGTAAATAAAACCACTGTAAATTTGGCTTTGAAATGACAACATCCCTGGCAATAATACTATCATATTAAAGAAACTAAATCGCTAATATTTGGGACTTAGAAATTGACACAAATGGGTCCCAACGCATATACATGTAATAATGTAATATGAATGTAAATAAACTGATTTCCGTTTTTACTCTAATTTCAAACCAGTTATGTTTGGCGAAATATACCAGAAGTCTCAATCAAATGGCAATATCTGGCGTCTGGTTATTCCAGTCTACACCGATAGTATTTATTGTGCATGCTCTCCCAATGATATACATATGATGTAAGAAAATGGCGTCACCGTTTGACATGATTTGTGGAATATGTCTAGCCTCGTTCTTCAAGTCTCTTGTTACAAATGGCGCTGAAATACATTATGACTATAATTTATGGTACACGATTCGTGTATCAATGTTTTTTTGTCTTTATTTTATTCAAATTATTGGATATTAGATTAGAAGCCCACCTTTTCCTGGTAAGATCACTACATCAATGTTGATTTAAATTGACAAATAATTCGTGTGTTCAATTTTAAAGACTTTGGATGATACTGAGTTAGCGACTTAGCTACTTTAATAGTAGTAATAATAAACGCCCAATAATAAATATTATCATTTTCTACGTACGAGACGAGTACGACTACGCCACGGATTTTATCAACTAACAAATACACTTTAGATTTTCGAAAGAATGGTAATAGTTTTGAAAATATTTATTGTCCATGCAGTTCAAATAAATATATTATAATCCAAATTTATTATTATTGGGACTTTAATACCTTGTTAAATCGCAATAAATGAAAACAAATTCTTAATTTTCGCTTTGACATTTAATACTACTCCATTTTGGATCCCAGAATGCTTTAGTGGAACGGGAAATAACTCTGGCCTGGGTACCTACTAGTCTCTTTCATACCAGTAACATTGTTGTAAAAGAAATAAAAGATAAAAATAATTATATACCGGTACCCACAAAGTAAATAGATTTTTGTTTGAATAAATTCCGTTCAATTTATAAAATGTGCGAATATGTATATGAAAGCAATTAGATAAAATATCCATTATTGAAATTTGCTAAAATAAGGGATATGTGCATTTATATATTTTAAAATTATATTATTCATCAGATAACTAAGGCTGGGGCTATTTGCCACATGTGGTAAGACAATCCGGAGACTATTTGCCACATGTGACAAGTCTCATTTCATGTGTCACGGCTACAGACCACAATTATCAACCGGTTTCAATGAAACTTACAGATTATAATAAGAGTATTAATATCTCAAACTAGCTTTCGGCCACTTCCGGTTAACGGTTTCCGAGATATTAGGTTACCACACATTTCATGTGGCACGGCTACAGACCATAATTATCAACCGATTTCAATGAAACTTACAGATTATAATAAGAGTATTAAGAGCTCAAACTAGCCAAAATTTCGGCCACTTCCGGTTAGCGGTTTACGAGATATCAGGTTACCACACATTTCATGTGGCACGGCTACAGACCACAATTATCAACCGATTTCAATGAAACTTACAGATTATAATAAGAGTATTAGGAGCTCAAACTAGCCAAAATTTCGGCCACTTCCGGTTAGCGGTTTCCGAGATATCAGGTTACCACACATTTCATGTGGCACGGCTACAGACCACAATTATTAACTGATTTCAATGAAACTTACAGATTATAATAAGAGTATTAATATCTCAAACTAGCCAAAATTTCGGCCACTTCCGGTTAACGGTTTCCGAGATATCAGGTTACCACACATTTCATGTGGCACGGCTACAGACCACAATAATCAACCGATTTCAATGAAACTTACAGATTATAATAAGAGTTTTAAGAGCTCAAACTAGCCAAAATTTCGGCCACTTCCGGTTAGCGGTTTACGAGATATCAGGTTACCACACATTTCATGTGGCACGGCTACAGACCACAATTATCAACCGATTTCAATGAAACTTAGAGATTATAATAAGAGTATTAATATCTCAAACTAGCCAAAATTTCGGCCACTTCCGGTTAGCGGTTTCCGAGATATCAGGTTACCACACATTTCATGTGGCACGGCTACAGACCACAATTATCAACCGATTTTAACGAAACTTACAGATTATAATAACATTAATAATATCTCAAACTAGCCAAAATTTCGGCCACTTCCGGTTAGCGGTTTCCGAGATATCAGGTTACCACACATTTCATGTGGCACGGCTACAGACCACAATTATCAACCGATTTCAATGAAACTTACAGATTATAATAAGAGTATTAATATCTCAAACTAGCCAAAATTTCGGCCACTTCCGGTTAACGGTTTCCGAGATATCAGGTTACCACACATTTCATGTGGCACGGCTACAGACCACAATAATCAACCGATTTCAATGAAACTCACAGATTATAATAAGAGTATTAATATCTCAAACTAGCCAAAATGTCGGCCACTTCCGGTTAGCGGTTTCCGAGATATCAGGTTACCACACATTTCATGTGGCACGGCTACAGACCACAATTATCAACCGATTTCAATGAAACTCACAGATTATAATAAGAGTATTAATATCTCAAACTAGCCAAAATTTCGGCCACTTCCGGTTAGCGGTTTACGAGATATCAGGTTACCACACATTTCATGTGGCACGGCTACAGACCACAATTATCAACCGATTTCAATGAAACTTACAGATTATAATAAGAGTATTAAGAGCTCAAACTAGCCAAAATTTCGGCCACTTCCGGTTAGCGGTTTCCGAGATATCAGGTTACCACACATTTCATGTGGCACGGCTACAGACCACAATTATTAACTGATTTCAATGAAACTTACAGATTATAATAAGAGTATTAATATCTCAAACTAGCCAAAATTTCGGCCACTTCCGGTTAACGGTTTCCGAGATATCAGGTTACCACACATTTCATGTGGCACGGCTACAGACCACAATAATCAACCGATTTCAATGAAACTTACAGATTATAATAAGAGTTTTAAGAGCTCAAACTAGCCAAAATTTCGGCCACTTCCGGTTAGCGGTTTCCGAGATATCAGGTTACCACACATTTCATGTGGCACGGCTACAGACCACAATTATCAACCGATTTTAATGAAACTTACAGATTATAATAACATTACTAATATCTCAAACTAGCCAAAATTTCGGCCACTTCCGGTTAGCGGTTTCCGAGATATCAGGTTACCACACATTTCATGTGGCACGGCTACAGACCACAATTATCAACCGATTTTAATGAAACTTACAGATTATAATAACATTAATAATATCTCAAACTAGCCAAAAGTTCAGCCACTTCCGGTTAGCGGTTTACGAGATATCAGGTTACCACACATTTCATGTGGCACGGCTACAGACCACAATTATCAACCGATTTCAATAAAAGTTAGAGATTATAATAAGAGTATTAATATCTCAAACTAGCCAAAATTTCGGCCACTTCCGGTTAGCGGTTTACGAGATATCAGGTTACCACACATTTCATGTGTCACGGCTACAGACCACAATTATCAACCGATTTCAATGAAACTTACAGATTATAATAAGAGTATTAAGAGCTCAAACTAGCCAAAATTTCGGCCACTTCCGGTTAGCGGTTTCCATGATATCAGGTTACCACACATTTCATGTGGCACGGCTACAGACCACAATTATCAACTGATTTCAATGAAACTTACAGATTATAATAAGAGTATTAATATCTCAAACTAGCCAAAATTTCGGCCACTTCCGGTTAACGGTTTCCGAGATATCAGGTTACCACACATTTCATGTGGCACGGCTACAGACCACAATAATCAACCGATTTCAATGAAACTTACAGATTATAATAAGAGTTTTAAGAGCTCAAACTAGCCAAAATTTCGGCCACTTCCGGTTAGCGGTTTCCGACATATCAGGTTACCACACATTTCATGTGGCACGGCTACAGACCACAATTATCAACCGATTTTAATGAAACTTACAGATTATAATAACATTAATAATATCTCAAACTAGCCAAAATTTCGGCCACTTCCGGTTAGCGGTTTCCGAGATATCAGGTTACCACACATTTCATGTGGCACGGCTACAGACCACAATTATCAACCGATTTCAATGAAACTTACAGATTATAATAAGAGTATTAATATCTCAAACTAGCCAAAATTTCGGCCACTTCCGGTTAACGGTTTCCGAGATATCAGGTTACCACACATTTCATGTGGCACGGCTACAGACCACAATAATCAACCGATTTCAATGAAACTTACAGATTATAATAAGAGTATTAAGAGCTCAAACTAGCCAAAATTTCGGCCACTTCCGGTTAGCGGTTTCCGAGATATCAGGTTACCACACATTTCATGTGGCACGGCTACAGACCACAATTATTTACCGATTTCAATGAAACTTACAGATTATAATAAGAGTATTAATATCTCAAACTAGCCAAAATTTCGGCCACTTCCGGTTAGCGGTTTACGAGATATCAGGTTACCACACATTTCATGTGGCACGGCTACAGACCACAATTATCAACCGATTTTAACGAAGCTTACAGATTATAATAACATTAATAATATCTCAAACTAGCCAAAATTTCGGCCACTTCCGGTTAGCGGTTTCCGAGATATCAGGTTACCACACATTTCATGTGGCACGGCTACAGACCACAATTATCAACCGATTTCAATGAAACTTACAGATTATAATAAGAGTATTATTATCTCAAACTAGCCAAAATTTCATGTGGCACGGCTACAGACCACAATTATCAACCGATTTCAATGAAACTTACAGATTATAATAAGAGTATTATTATCTCAAACTAGCCAAAATTTCGGCCACTTCCGGTTAGCGGTTTCCGAGATATCAGGTTACCACACATTTCATGTGGCACGGCTACAGACCACAATTATCAACCGATTTTAACGAAACTTACAGATTATAATAACATTAATAATATCTCAAACTAGCCAAAATTTCGGCCACTTCCGGTTAGCGGTTTCCGAGATATCAGGTTACCACACATTTCATGTGGCACGGCTACAGACCACAACTATCAACCGATTTCAATGAAACTTACCGATTATAATGAGAGTATTATTATCTCAAACTAGCCAAAATTTCGGCCACTTCCGGTTAGCGGTTTCCGAGATATCAGGTTACCACACATTTCATGTGGCACGGCTACAGACCACAATTATCAACCGATTTTAATGAAACTTACAGATTATAATAACATTTATAATATCTCAAACTAGCCAAAATTTCGGCCACTTCCGGTTAGCGGTTTCCGAAATATCAGGTTACCACACATTTCATGTGGCACGGCTACAGACCACAATTATCAACCGATTTTAACGAAACTTACAGATTATAATAAGAGTATTAATATCTCAAACTAGCCAAAATTTCGG